CTTCACCAAATCCTGCAAGACCATGAAATGTTCAAGATAGTAAGTTATTTTCTTTGTATAATGTCTCAATAGCAGCTATTCAACAGAAATTTGCCAGACTATGCAGCAAAATGAATTTACAAAAAGGTAATGCTAAACTTCCTTGTAAGCAATGACATTCAGGGCTAATGAAAAGGTCTCTTGTCCCTACTAGTTATACAGACTAGGTTTCAACCAAAGGCAGCAATTCATGCTAAAAAAGCTGTTGAACAACCCTAACCATAAGCCATATATGCAAACAAGCGAAATGACAATTCCTATCCGAAGCTTGCAGCAAAGCTACATCCACATTCCGAGGTGACAAGCATAAAGCACAGAGACAATGCAGACACCAAGTACCACTATCATGTGCATATCGCATATTTGATGTCACAGCATGAAGCCAATTGACAGTAATGATGGTAATACCTTTAGCTTGTCTTCTTCCACGTACTCCTTGGCTTCATCTCGGAGGTGCAGTCTTATTTCAGTTCCACGGCCCAGGGGTTCATTCCATGTATCCTCAGAGATAGCGAATGATCCATCAGCTTTGGACTCCCAGACATGCCTATCAGAGAAAAAGTGCAACAGCAGAACATGAAGTAGGTTGTCATGCCAGTGAAGGAAAAGAAGATGAACCAAAAACACAATATGTAGCCGCTGTATTTCAGTGGTGTCTTACTGTTTGTCGTCATTGTGCTTGCTGATCACTTCAACATAGTCAGCAACCAAGTATACTGAATAGAAACCAACACCGAATTGCCCAATGAGATTGAGGTCACCCCCAGTCTGCATCTTTTCCACAAAAGCTGCAAAAATTTCAAGGAATTGGTATCACTCAAGTTTAAGTTAAATGGCACTTGGTAAAATTCTCTTTACAAACAAATAGATAATACTAAAGTTTTAGCAAGAGAATACACATAACTTTAAGAGAAATCAGTACAAAGGAGTAATACCTGAAGTTCCAGATTTGGCAATGGTCCCAAGGTTCTTAATGAGATCTTCCTTGGTCATACCAATACCCCTATCCCGAATGGAGAGAATCTTCTTCTCCTTATCCAGCTTAATCTACACGTGCCCACAGCAGATGCCATGAAGTCAATTTCCAAAACAAGATATACCACACAAAAAAGACTATCAGCTACGAAGTTTAATATACCTGGATTTCAAGCTTAGCAGTGTCACCTTCGCCCAAAACCTCCTTATCAGTGAGAGCCAGGAACCTAATCTTGTCCAAAGCCTACACATAAAAAAAAAGCACACATTAAATTCCTAGCATCTACTAATAACCTTAAGGGCTCATTTGGATTGGAGGCTTTTCCCGGGAATTTCATAGGAATACTGTTCACATGGGATTTTTTCCTATCCTATCGTTCGGATCATAAAAAGTGGTTATGGGAAAACTGTAGGAAAAAATCCTTTGCTGCTGATTCCACAGGAAAAACGGAGGAAAATTCCATCCACTCCAATCTCTTGTTTCATTCCCTTTGACAGAATCAAGCCAATCAAGCAATAAAACAGCCACTAGATAATAAGCAAGACAGACGGGATAAGCAAGATAGCGGTAGATAATAAATACAGTATACAGATTACTCCTCGATTACTTTTTATTTCCTTTCCTGTAAACCGAATGCTCTCAACTTTTATATTCCTGCGTTTTTCAATCCTATGTTTTCAACGTGATTTCCTTTCATATTCCTACGTTTTTCCTATCCTGTGTTTTTCCTTTTCCTGTGTTCTGAATAGGCCCTAAAAAGGGAGTCAAAATGCAATACAACTACATACATCAGAAGCATTGGAGATGAGCTCCCTCAGGAAAATGTCCTTGTTGCTGTAGAGTGAGTTGATGATGATGTCCATGAGTCTGGACACCTCAGCCTGGAACTCAAATTTCTCCGCTGAGCTCCTGAGGGTCTTCCTCGAGATTGACTCAGCCTCCCTGCACACATTCCATATTGCTCATACAGATATCAACAACACAATAAGATGGAAACGATCAGCATTGATCAGAAGATCGTGCACACCTCTGAACAACCTCAGAGTCCGTGGACAGGCCATGGGGAACACCACCAATCTTCTCCTCTACCTTCGGCGGATCAACTAACTCATCAGTGCTGTCATCAGCATTGACTTGGAGCTTCTTAGCTGCAGTACAGGAAGGGTCAGAACCGAATAATAATTTGAATCATGTGTTGACTTGCGGTAGAGCAATGTGTGTGAATTAGACTTGAGAAGCCTTTAAAAATCACTAAGATCAGTAAGTTGGGGGCGCTAGATCAACAACAATCAGCACTAGATTTACACTGAACTGACTTGATACAGATGTATTATTACTCTCAGGACTAAACCCTATTTAAACCCCGCATATAATGAGCCCTATTGCGGACAAAATTACGGTGCGCAATAGCAGATTACGGATCTAGAACTAGCTAAATCTCGAAATCGCAATAAACCCTACCATTACAACAGATCGAAGTGGCCGCGAACCCAACAAGCGAGATCTAAAACAAAAATCAGACTAGAATCACCACCAGAGATCGCACAAAGCACAAGTCACGTCCACACAAACGGATCAGACAACTATGAGCACTATTTCAAAAAAAAAAAAAACTACCAATTCATCAGTCATCACATCTCACTCCCTTACTCGAAGTAGTGGCACCAAATAATCACAGCAGAGTCAATCAAAGGGTGACCAAGTGAGATCGAATCTGTACTGGTCGCCTCCGGAGCTAACGGATCACAGAGTTCCAACCTAAAATTCACTATACTCCCACAGAAAAACACCCAAAAAATCGCGAAAAATCAGACAACGCCTCCGGCGGCGGGGGCAGACAGAGACATGCCTGGATCGGGGAGTGTGGTGAGGAGGAGGAGGAGGAGGAGGAGCGCGGAGGAGAGCGCCCACTTGCGCATCGTGCCGCCTCCGATTCACTCGTGTTGCAGCAGAGAGTGGAGGTGATGAGTTCGTCGCCTCGCCGCGGCTCGACTCGAGGAGGAAGAAGGAGGCGAATGCCCTCTTCTTTAAATCGCTCACACCCGGAGACCCCGTGCGCCCGGTCCACGCGGGGGCGATCGCGCCACGTGGAAGATCGGACGGCTCGGGTGGCGCGTCCTCCACGTGGCAGTATTTTACTGGGCGGCGCGGCGAGCTTGACGTGGAGCGAGAGCGAGGGGGTGGTCTCTGCCGTCCGATGCGGGGAACCTGGGGTTCGGAGGGCTGGGATCCCGTGCGTGCCTGAAGGGCCGGACACGTGGCGGGATATGATTGGTGCGTGGCCGGGACATCGACGTCGATGAGGCTCTGGATGTGCTAGAAAGTTCGGTGCGGGCGTGCTTAGTGGATGAAGTAATTAGCTCAAGGTGGGGCCAGAAAGTATAACGTGCGGGTCCGGGCCCCACCTGTCAGTCAACGGCTGTTGACCTATGACTGGTCAGGCCGTGCTTTGGACGCTATTTTCTCGCTGGGCTTTTCACATTGTTGGGCCTCACAAGCTTCGAAACTCAGGACTAAATGGACAGTGAAGTGTACTATGCATCTGCAGTTCTGCACAGCAATCAAAAGACGTAACTACACAGCTAATGGTAACTGGTTTGTCTACCACTTCATCTATAAGAGGCATCATCCACCTATACTTCAAATACAATTTTCTTTTAAACTACTCATCCGATCTACGATCCGATTACACCGTTGTGTTCGTAACAATTAAATCTTTACAACAATATCTCACATAATTATATTTTGATGAAAAATCACAAATTACTTTTATGATATGTCTAAATTACTTTTAGATTTCACTAAGTTACTTCCTAGATACATAAAAGTAAATTCAATAAAACCTAAAAGTAAGTTACATATATTATAGAAGTAACTTAGAACAAAACGAAGGTAACTTTAGCATGTCATTTAAAGTAAATCCGTTGTAGAGATAAAATCATGACTATATCTAGAAATTAAATTAACCAGCACAAATTATGGAATTAACTAAAATAATAATAAAAGTAATCACCTCATAGCATTATGAATGCATAGGAAGTATTTTAATCAAATATAAAAGTAACTATATATAATTAAAGTTACTTTCTTTTTTATAAGTTATTTATACAATATATATGTAAATTAGTTTTAGGCTTTACTGAATTTACTTTTATATGTATAAGAAGTAACTTAGTGAAATCTAAAAGTAATTTAGACATATCATAAAAGTAATTTGTGATTTTTCATCAAAATATAATCATGTGAGATCTTGTTGTAAAGATTTAATTATTACGAACACAACGGTGTAATCGGATTGTAAATCGGATGAGTAATTTAAGAGAAAATTTTATTTGAAGCATAGATGATAGGGATATTTCCACTACTTGCTCAATGGATTAATAGCAACAAAAACTTCTAAAGTACTAGCACGTGGGTGTCTCTGGTTAAGAATAATTGGAGAGGCCTCTCCAATTAGATTTACCGCAATCAAAAGCCTGAAGATTGTGATGAAAAGTTCATGAGAAATAGTTCCAGTAAATGCAACAAGCTTTTGAGTATAGAACTGCTACCCATTTGGACACATGAATTTTGTAGAAAATTTGTCAAAAGTTCCAGATGAAACAGTTTAATTTATGTTTCATTTGATCTGAATTATTCAGTGGATACTGGATAGAACACCTATCCGAAAGCTATAAGCACGTGTAAAGGAGAAAAAGAGATGAAAACGGTCTATAGATTTGCTGCAGCAAAGACTCCAAAATAGTGTTTGTACATGAGGTGACCAAATATTAATGATGTTTGTACATGAGGTGACCAAATATTAATGATGTAGTATACATTAGGCTATTGGATTAGCTACAAATGAGATGTCAAATTTTAAAGCTAGTAGTTGGCTATACTATTAAACTTAGTCTAAGTCCATATTGCGACTGTGTACCAAAAAATGTACAATATTTCCTGGCTCAAACTGATGCTCCTGCATATGCATACGACTAGACCCAAGTAACGCAACATATTGATTAATTAAAAAATCGATGGAACATCCAAACAATGATTGAATCCATGTTACTACAAAGATTTCATACATGATGTATTTACAAGAGATTCACATCAAAACTTGAGGCCTAGCCAAATCTGGACATGTATCCTGGCATAAAACAATGATGCTGAATCTTTAAGTTTTTTATCAGGGAGCATTTGGGAGTCACTAGCAGCAATATTGTCCATTTCCAACATCAAGAAAAAAACGGAGGGAAAGCTAAGCAAACTAGAGGACATACTGATAGCTTCATAGCTAACGAACTTAAATCGCCTCAGGCACTGTGGAAGCATCATCGGCGACAGAATCACACACATTCCTAGAGATAGACGCTAGCAATTTATGCGATGTTTCTTGAATGCCCTGACTTGAAGTCTTGGCGATGGGGATCCTGAAAAGAGAAAGTAGCATGTGTTACTCTGAGTTCTGAACCTTAATTTCTCACCATTACTAAAAATATAAGCTCCTGAGGTTAGTAAGATAAATTACCACAAAAGGACAATAAATAAAACTGGCTGTGCACAACACAACCCTGTGAAACAAGTATGGATATACATACAACCAAGGACTATCAAGAGAAAATTAGCAATCACAGTTTTATTGATTTCAGTTTCATGACCAGAGATGAGCAAGAGTTACATTCATTCACAAATTGTGGAGGTAAAACTCCACAAAAACAGGTTGACATATATCATGGAATAGCTTGCCACTACCTAAAAAGCTAAAAGCACTTCCTGTCGTATATGAATAATGGTTGAAGTGACAATCACATTATCAGAATTAGCTCTTCATAGAAATGAAGAACGTGAAAAGGGATTCTCCATATTCTCCAAAAGTTAGTGGTGCTAACATTATGCTTCTATGAACAATGATCTCTCCTAACAACAGAACTGGAGGTAGTATTGCATGGACCTATTTTCGTGGGTATCAGGCTAAAAAACCATGAATCAGGCACACACTGGTAAAGTAAATGTCTAGAAGATGTACGTCCTGATTCCAAATTATCATTTCTGGAGAATATACTATGCAATCAACAAAGCATGCAGGTAGCATCTTGAATGCTTAGGTAATAGGTACAATATCAATGATGTAGAGGAAGCATATGGTGTTTGTACGAAGTGTTTTTTTTATAAATCATTAATTTGATGAAGCATAAGCGCACAAGTAACACATTGCTACTTGCTTAGCAGCAGAACAAAATCAACATGTTTCTTTCACCAGAAAAATATGCTATACAGTGCATAGGCTATTGATTATTGATTTTTTTATCAGTCAGATATATAGTGCATTCAAAGAGGTCATAGATATCCAGCAAAAAGAACATGTGTTTAGCATTCTATCACTGTCTCGACAAGATGAAACAACCACCCCACCCACCCCCTCCCCTTTCCCCAAGAAAAAAAACAAAACATTTCAGTCCAGATCAGCTGTCATTTCACTACATCAAAATACCAATACAAGATAATAGACTGCAGCGGATGAACTAAACTTCAGAATAATGGCTCTGGAGCATGGTTATTAAGGCGCTAAAGGAAACCTAAGGAACCCTCATCATGCCTTATGCCTTAAGGTCACGCCTTACGCAGTGAAAAAAAAAAGGAAATAAAGGACTTTTTCATAATAATTGCAGAGTCCAGGACTAAAATGGAAGGCTTTTTCATGACATTTACATATTCCAAGGACTAAAATGGAAGATGGCAACAGATATTTTATCTACCCATCCCAATCCCCAATCCCGTCGTCACCTGTTTCTCCGCCGCTTGCTCGCCTCCGCTCCCTTGCCCCGGCTGCCGCCTCTATCCCCTCCATCCACTCTCTCTTCCCTTGCTGCTGCCGCTCCTTGTCATTGCTCGTGCTGGATCTGGGCAACGCCAGCAGTTGGGGACGACGGCAACGGTGATATCCTAGTCAGATCTTTTTGTTCCTCCCCCTTCCCCTCCCTTCCCCTGCTGCCTCCGCTCTTCATGACTACGGATTATTGCTGCCGCCGCTTCTCTAGGATGGGTTTATCACTTGTTTTTGCCCTTTCTCCTCTAGCTTTCTCGTAAGGCGGAGTGGACGCCTTACACCCTGGCAGCGCCTTACTGCCTTAGGGATGCCGTAATAACCATGCTCTGGAGCATGAAATTTTATCCTACGTTGACTCTTCTTACAAGCATTTAGTTTGTAAATCAAGGAAAAGAGAACTAACCAAGCTAGTCATAATCTTTTTTAGAAGGCCATAGATAACAGAAGATTATGAGGTTGCCATACTGAATAGCAGTAGCTGGTAGCCAAATTAGTGTTTTAGACAGATATAGCTAGTCTACATCTATACTAGGATTTAACCATGCTGAAACGAAGGCAAAAGGTAGCAGCTAGCATTTAGTATGTTAGATATATATAGTTAGAAGCAGTACATGAAATTGGCAAAAACAGAAAGGAAACATAACTGACCTTCATTTCTTTTCAGAATTTGGCATACAGCCGACAGGCATCGTACCCATAGCCCCACAGACTGGGAGCTTTGCAGATCCAGATTTTGCACCTTGGCATTGGATACTGGCAATATCACAGGCACCTTGCCCCAACACCTGACCACTCACAGCGCCATCCTCGCCCATTGTTCTCACCTGCATCCCTGGACTGCAATACATCTGGTCGGCACATCGAAAGTCACAGGAGTTCATAACCTGGGCACCACCAAGATAACTTCCCTGATCAACACTAGAAACCAAATCGATGTTCTTCACTGGCCTCTGATAAGGAAAAGCCCCAATCTCCCCTTCAATCCTTCCTCTAATATCAACGAGCAGGCACCGCAGCCTGGATACCTCTGCCTCGAGCGTGGCATGGTTCTGGAGCTTCTTCATGAGCTGCTGGTTTAGAGCCCTCAAATGAACAACCTCCTCCTCCAGCGAGGCAGTGTGAGCTTTCTTCTTCTCCCTGTACTTCCTCACAGCGGCACGGTTACCCGACGGCCGCTTCTTGGAGGCATTGTTCTCCGTCGGGGACTCGGCGGTCTCGGCAGCATCCGACGGAGTGTCGGATGGGGCGGAGACGATCTTGGTGTGGACATGGACGCAGGTGTGGGTGTGTGAGAGGTCATGCACAGGCGGGTTGCAGGTGTGGGTGTGGGTGCATGCATGGTGCTCCGTATCCTTGAGGATGTCGTCGAAATAGCTGTCCATGGAGCAGCTGCCGTCGGGGTCAGCACCACCGACGGCCGGGCAGAGGAATGTGTCCGGGTTGGAGAAATCGAGGTCCCCGTCATCCATGGCCACCGGCAGCTGGCAATGGAGAGCAAACCTGGTCACAAAGTCACCACGATTACACACCAAAAATTGTTGACTCGGAACCCCTACTCCTCCTAAATCCTCCCTACCTACGATACGAATGATGATGACTAAAACGCGACGGGGATTCAACCGAGAGAGATATATCTGGATTCGATTCTGTCGTTCGCAAATCCAAGCAGCGAAGATAGGGAGTCGTTACCGGCGAGAGGAATCGCGGGCGGATGGATCCCCAGCTCGGCGCCGGGCGGCCAGATGGGGGAGCCGCCGGGAGGAGGTGGCCTACCGCCTCGGAGGGAAGCGAGCCGTCGTTGGTTGGTCCGGTTCGAGGCGGCGGAAGGCGGCGGCGGCGGCGGCGAGCGAAGGGTGGGGGGTTTCTCGTGTTGTGTGGCGGGGAGCGAATGGAGGTGTGTGTGTGCGTGTGTGGGGTGCGTCGCCGAGAAGAAACGCGGAAGCAGTCGTGTCATGTGCACCCCACCACGAGGAGCGAGGGGGCAGGGGCAAAGGGCAAAAATCCAATCATGACGCGCATCGGCTTTGATCGTGCGGCTTGGGATCAACTTGGGCCTCCCGAGTCTATGGTGGTGGGCCCACCAGACAGATGATTGATCACGATGGTGCCCTTCTCGTCAAGGAATTTTTTTTATTTATAATTTTTTTTATTAAAAGTTTTACAAAAATAATTTTCCATTTTGAAAATTAACGGAAATAGTCGCCTACCGCCCTCTGGGAGGGCGATTTTAAAAATCGCCCTCCCAGAGGGCGGCGAAAATGACGTGGCAGACGGCCGTTCGCTCTCGGGCGACGGCCGTCAACGAAATTTGCAGGCGGCCCCCTTGCCGCCCTCCGCGAGGGCGATTTTCTACTGTGCGGGGGGCCGCCTGCAAATGGGCGGCGAGGGGGGGCATGGAATTTTGCAGGCGGCCCCCTTGCCGCCCTCCGCTAGGGCGATTTTGCACTGTGCGGGGGGCCGCCTGCAAATGGGCGGCGAGGGGGCATGAAATTTTGCAGGCGGCCCCCTTGCCGCCCTGGGGGAGGGCGATTTTGTACCGTGCTCTATATTTTTTTTATATAAATATCAATAGTTATCAAATCTTTTTATATTGAAAACTATACAAGATTAAAATCTCCAAGACTGGTAAAATACAATTTTATTATTTTTTAGGGCATATTTGGAATGTTACCGTACAAATATTTTGTTAATGCCAAAATATAAGCAAGTTTTGGCACTACCAAATATTTGGTAAGGTAAAATTGCATTTGATCATATTTGGTTTGCTGCCAAAATGTAAAATTGTAGTGAAGAATGTTGTACATAATCTCAATTCTAGATTACGTATTACCAATTAATAGGCTTCCATTTTCGTGTGTGGTGTGGTAGTGGGAAAGAAGATATGAAGAGGTTGCCTTCAGATTGTCAATTATATAGCGTCGTTTTCACTGCAATATATGTGAACTCAATGAGATACATTATTCATTAGATGTGACAAGACGATCACGCGTGGGCGTGATTCACTTTATGTCAACAGGCAGCGCCGAAAGTTGATAGTGATAACTCGAGCTGCCGCTTTTCATGTGTGCTGTTGTGGACTGTGCGCGCTACTGGATATGGCACTACCGTGAAGCGCCGAAAGTGTGTTGTTGTGAGCATAAGTTGTTCAAGCACCATACGAATGAAAAGAACTACGTAGACGAGACAAACACAAGTAGTACTGCAGTAGTAATAGCAAAAGTAGTACTGCTTTACAAGTTTGTAAGCCAAAAGAAACGGTCACATAAGGACTGAAGAGGTAGAACACTACTGACGAGGCCTCTTACCCCTGTCCCTCCTACCCTGCGCCCTAATGTGCCCCTGGGAGTACGTGAGTCGGTCCGGGGGTACGGCACGGCCAACCCGTCCTGCCTGTACAGGTGTGACCTCTGGCTGCTCCTGAGTGTGCGCCTCTGGAGCTCCTCCAAGCTGAGAGGAGCCTAGTACGTCCTGGTGGTCTGCACCGTGCAAGTCGTCGTCGTAGAACTGGCTAGTAGGACCAGTCCTACCGGCGTGAGACGAAGAGGCCCCAGTACCGAAGATCCCGGCTGCAAATCCTGCTGGACAAGGACCATCAGTTTCGTACAGGTATTTAACAGTATTAATAAAATCTTAAGTACCGTGTGGGCGAGGGATCGACGCTCCGTGAGAGGAAGAGCTGGCGAACGCGCCCGAAGAGGTGGCGAACGCCCCTGCGGAGCTCGCGGAAGCGCCGGTCGTGCCTGCGAACGCGCTCGAAGGCATACGAGGTCCTGCGATGAGGAAACGTGCAGTTAAAAAATGGTGACACATTCGTGCAAAAGCTGAAACAAAAAAGAACTAATATCTAGGCTGAACTGTACCGTGCGAAACCGGTGCTGTAGGTCGCACTGCTCCGAAGCTAGGGGCGCTCGAAGACAAACGAGGTCCTGCTCCGACGGTAGGACCGCGAGGCCGTGGGTGTACCGGACCAGCTGGAGGTACGACGTCCACGGCGCTGCGACAGGAGAAGACGCGCATGACCGCACGCATCTTCTCCTGCATCCGGTCGAAGGTCGACCTCTGCTCAACGTCAGTCAAGTGCAAACCTCTACTCAACCTCACCTGGACTGCGGTGATATCGGCACTGATATCCCGTGCCGCATCAGCCTATGCAAGATGGAAATAAAAAATTCAGTAGTTGTCCTATATTATGCAAGATAAATGACATAATTGTTGGAAGTAATACAAATTGGACGTACCGCCACGAAGTAGTCTCGGTCACGGTGCGTGGGATACGCGTCCGTGACAGCGGCAACGTGCGGCTCTGGGGCGTCTGGAGTGAAGGTCACACGCGCACGAGTGCGAGGAAGGTACCAGCGAAGGTAGTCACGGTAGTTCTCCTCCGTGTGTGGGAAGAGCTCGTTGATCACCTCCTCTGTAGCTAACACCCAGTCGTCAACGTACTGCTGTACACGTGGAGCCCAAAGTGCGCCTGCTAGCTGTCCCCGTCGAGTCAACCTGTGAAGAGAGGTAAATTGTATGGCTCGATGATGTAATTATCATAAAAATTTAGAAATGAACAATCCGAACTCACGAGTGGTCGGCAGGGGGGACGGTCGGCTGCACGTTGCCCGGAAACACCTGCCTAAGTCCGAACTGTCTCATCACACGCTGCGGGCAGTGAGGCTCAACGAAAATGTCGAACACCATCGGCAGGATGGTGAGCCAGTAAGCCTGGTCGCGTGTGCACAAGGACGAAAGTCCTAGCGGTGCTCTCGCAGCGACGGCCTCTTCTGTGTACGGCTCCCAGATGACGTCGCTCGGCTGGAGACGGTCAAACTCGAACACGAAGTCCGGGTAACCACGTCTCACCTGGACGTGAGCGTAACGACGCTGCAATAAACATGATCGGAATTAGACATGTTATGTGAAGGAAAAAAAAAGAAGAGGACTGATAAACTTATAACGCAGCGAAGTTGCACTAACCCCACGTCGACACCAGTAAGTCCCCATCGTGGGACCGTCCTCTGGCCACTGCGCGCTGCGACCAACCCCGTAGGGTGCGCTGTCCACCACTGGTCGCCCTATGGCAAACCTCTCGGCTGCCCAAAGCTGAAGCAACATAGGACAGCCAGCGATGATCGCTCCCGCGTCAGTCTTCGTGCACGCCTCACAGAGGGCACGGTACGTGGCTGCTAGCACGGCAGAACCCCAGCTCCACTGCGGCACGTCCTGTGGCTGAGCATCCGCGATGGACCGTGCGTAGTGGACCAGCCGGAAGTCCACAGCGTGCCCGTGGGTGCTAGTGAACATCACCCACCCGAACAACCACAACAGGTACGCCTCAAGGGAGCGTCGGACCGAGTAATCATCAGCGTCAGGGTGCAGAAGGTCCGCCTACAGTTAAGAATGAAATGTTAGTACAAAACACTCATCCGGTCGCAAATAAGCATGTATGATAATAACAACTTATTTACTTACAGTGAACTGGAGCAACCAAGCCTTGCTAGGCCCGACTGTAGAGTACGGAGGAAGGGTGGTGGTCGGTCCTAGGTGTGGAAGGCGCATCACCTGCTCGAAGCGCGCAGTGATATCCTCCTTCCACCCAAAAACACCGTCGACGGGACCAACTGGTGCTCCCGCCAGCGGTAGCCCGAGCAGGTACGACACGTCCTGCAGTGTCGGAGCCATCTCCCCACAGGGAAGGTGGAACGTGTGCGTCTCAGGTCTCCAGCGGTCTACAAGAGCGGCAAGGAGTGACCGGTCTGCATCCCACCGCTTCGCTGGGTCACGGTCGTCCGCCGCCGCCTCAACAAGCCTACAAAGTGGTAGAAGGCCTGCCGCACGCAACCTGTATAGAGCAAACTTCAAACATAAGTGCAAAACAAAGCAAAGTTGAGTTCAAATGTGAACATACGCGTACCAAGGAACGTGACGGGGGTCGACACGCAACCACTCGCGCGACGTGCGTGGACGGAAGGTGCCGAGCTGTGCACCCTCGACTGCTGACAGGAACGAGCGGTGGTTCCTGTCAATCCCACGGTTCAACAGCGCCGGTGTGTCGTACGCCATACCTGCATCAAATAGGTTGATCAGAAACATATAAATAATTAGTTCAACATAAGTAATAAATGTTCATAAGCGAATTACTAACACATATTAAACAAGAGTACAAACAAACAAAAGTGTTTAGTCCGAACACTCATCACGATAACATTATGATACAACACCGAATAGTTCGCAATACTACTAGTACAACAATAGTCGGAGGTACTCATTACAACAAGATTGAATTGTAATTACACGATAGAAGTATTTAGTCCGAACACTCATTACATCATTTTATTTCCTAAATCGAAAGCATTGTTACACCATGGAATCGCCTGCTGCGCGACGACGCCTTGGCCTTGCGCGCCTGCTTGTTGTTCCTTCACCAGGTGGTCGCCTACCATCACTTGCCTGTCCAGATGGACTAGCATCTGCGCCGCTTGGAACTTCTGCATTCTTCGGGCATTTCTTGTAAGTATGGCCGCGCAGATCACACTTGCTGCAGCGTAAAGTCCTCCCACCTGCTTCTGACTCATCCATATCATTTCTGATGCGTCTAGTTTGGCGTCGACCCTTTTTCACCCTTAACTTAGATGGATCTGGAATATAAAAAACTTGGGCACTCAGCGTTGTGTAAGATCCTGAGATCCCGAACCCATATATCTCCTCACTCCATGTATGAAAGATTGCTTCTTTCCTGAAATAATTTGAGACGTACACATTGGGAGATATGCCACAATCACCGGCAGCAGCAAGAACGTGTGAGCAAGGAAGGTGATGAAGCTTCGGCTTCATACAACTGCAGGTACATCCACCATCCGCCTTCAAGACACATTCCTGCACGGCTTGCTTGCGATAGATACCACGCCTGCTCCTATCAACACACATTATTTCATACCGATGCACTTGTGTGCCTTGAGCAACAACTCTATGTCTCCGTGCCTTTTTGATTTTATCTTCCATGTACTTTGTCACTACGTTGCCAAACACTATGTTGTTATCGGCCATGGACGGACCAATTTTCTTGTATCGATCCCTAAAGTAGGCTTGCGTGCCGTGAAGGATGAATTCAACAATAGCAACCAATGGAAGTACCCGAACTCCTCGCATTACCCAGTTGTACACCTCTGCCAAATTGGTTGTCATTATGCCATACCGAGATCCATCGGTGTCGAACAATAGAGCCCACTTCTCCTTAGGCTCATTCTCAATCCACTGAGAGAAATTTCTGATGGCCGACCCTGACCTCCTTCTCATTGTTGGTGGGTCATCATGTAATGCACCAAGAGGTATGGGAGGCTCGTCACCTTCAACTTGTGGTCTGCGAGATTGCTCATCTGTTTGCTTCGTTGTCAACTCATCCAACTTGTCCCACAACTCATTAAATTTCTTCTCTTGGTTCTGTGCACAGAGCCTCTTAAAGAGATCCATAAGATGCTTGTTCTTGAATTGCTTGTAGAAATTTGCACCCATGTGACGCATGCACCACCGACTCCGAACATCAGGCCACTTAGCTGGAAGTCCCTTCTCATCCCAACCGTTCTGCAAGTAGTCAATAGCCCGCAACATACCCGCATGACGATCATGTATAAGGCAAACGTTGGGCCTCATACGCACCACTGCAATGTGCACTCTCTCTAGGAACCAGTACCAGCTTTCAGTGTTCTCACTCTCTACAAATGCGAAAGCCATAGGTAGAACCTGGTTGTTCCCATCACACCCAATTGCTGTCAATATCTGACCTCGGTATTTACCTGTCATAAAAGTTCCATCTATGCATAGAACAGGTCGACAATGCACAAAAGCATTGATGCAAGCACCCAATGAGAAAAAGGCTCTTTGCAGCACACTCTTTGTTCGATCTTCAACCGATGTAAATGTATGTAGGTCATAGTAAGTATTATTATTCCTCTGGGCAATGGTGGCTAACAAACGAGGCAAATTATCATAAGAAGCTTCAAATGTGCCATACCTCATCTCAATGATCTTTTGTTTGGCTCTCCAGGCCTTTGCATAGCTTATGGTGTACTTGAATTTGTTCTCGATGTGCCTAATAATTGATTTTGGTTCAAAGCCAATGTTACCAACAACACTGCTGTACATCTCACTTGCCACAAAAGCTGAAGTGATGTTTCGGTGATACTTCTCCACCCCTTGTAAGTAGCACTTGTGCTCGGTCACAATGCTAACTTTCCAATAATCATTCCATTTACCCTTATATGCATGGACACGCCACGGACATTCTTCCTTCATGCACCTCACTTCATACACATAATTTGTTGACTTGACCACCCTAAACTCTCTCTGCAATGAAACTGCCCAATGCTTCACCGCCTCCTTCATCTCATCCTTATGAGCATACCTTGCACCCTCAATTACCTCGTTCTCCTTATACTCCCAGGGTACATGATCACCCTCTGATATAACAAGACCAGAGAAGTCCTCATTTGCCCAATCAGTGGCCATTACATCACCTTCCTCATCGGATGATGCGTCGTCCTCCGCTTGCTCATTATCCGAATCTTCCCTCTCCATTTCATCAACAATTATACCGACTCTCTCCCCCTCATCCGCCATGCCCATGGCCTGCTCCTCCCTTGGTTGATTTTCCTCATTTTGCATCGATGGTCCAACAACATCCCCTGCATTGCTAGGACCCTCCACATCTTCGGTTTGCATTGAAACATTTGTATCTTTCTCTTGTACCGACACAAATATAACGAGGGGCCATGACCGTTCAAAAGCCATTTCCACATACCGTCTCCAAGCAGCAGTGCTGTCCATCGGCATTAGTTCCCAAAAATAACCTTCTATTGCACGACTCACTACAACAGATACTGACATTGTGTAGACTTCTTGGTCTATTCTAAATCCTCTCAACAACCAACTATAAATTGACTCAAATGTTCTCTCCGCAGGCCTATCGATGCCCTTAGATGTCATTACAAAATCTGACAGATCAACACCATCTGGACCAAATCTAATATTTCCTTCACCGTGAACTATCTGAAATGTGACCTTACTTGACATTGTGCCTGATGAAAACAATAACTGCGTTAACCTCGCATTTCTGTACTACGCCCTAAGTTACATTCTCTACAATATTGTTCTCTAAATTTCTAAAAGTAGGTTACATTCTCCAGATCAAACTAAACTACATCTTACAATTAACACTATTGTCTATGTCTCAATTCATACTATTATATTCTATGCTCTGGATCTACACATATGTGCTGTGTGCTACAGATCTGCTAAAATATATGGAACTAAAACTAAAACGCAACATATGTACTCAAACGTAATATATTAGTACAAATGCAAAAGATGTATGGGAGCATACCTGTGATGAAGTGAGCGAACCAGCAGGGCTTCGCCGCTCCCCTTCTGCTGCCCTCCCCTCTCTCTCTTTCGTTTTTTTGGATTTTTAGTGAATATAATGAAATTTCACAGGGGAGGGGCTGGGCTTTATAGGGGGGAGGCAAAAATCGCCCTCCCCCAGGGCGGCAAGGGGGCCGCCTGCAAAATTCCATGCCCCCTCGCCGCCCATTTGCAGGCGGCCCCCCGCACAGTGCAAAATCGCCCTAGCGGAGGGCGGCAAGGGGGCCGCCTGCAAAATTCCATGCCCCCCCTCGCCGCCCATTTGCAGGCGGCCCCCCGCACAGTAGAAAATCGCCCTCGCGGAGGGCGGCAAGGGGGCCGCCTGCAAATTTCGTTGACGGCTGTCGCCCGAGAGCGAACGGCCGTCTGCCACGTCATTTTCGCCGCCCTCTGGGAGGGCGATTTGGCGGTAGGCGACTATTTCCGTCAATTTTCAAAATGGAAAATTATTTTTGTAAAACTTTTAATAAAAAAAATTATAAATAAAAAAAATTCCTCGTCAAGAGCCCGCCATGGTAATGGAAAGAGAGATTATAGCAAGTCTAGTAGTACAACCCACCGCTTACTCCAAAAATTTTCATATTAGCAAAAATCATTGTTTAATCAATGCAAATGCATTGTTAGTTAAACTATTGTTTTTCTCCTTGTTCCGTACTCTCTCTCCTGACACAAGTTGCAGTGCATGGAAGTTAATTGGTTGAATTGCTCATGTCTGTGTTGGAGCGCGAGTGCAGGTAGCGCTTAAATAGTCGCCCGGTGATATACTCTCTCACCTCCAACTCACTGTAAAAGTTGATGTGGCAGGTTTATCGCTAGTTATTGTACCTGTTATTAATGGCTTGATGTGGAAAAATGAATGGTAATGGAAAGAGAGATTAATGGCTTGATGTGGAAAAGGGAAGAAATGTCCACCCCTGGAAAAATTGCCTTTCTTCTTCTGTTTTTCTATTCAACTTTCTCTGTTTTTCGATTGAACCCTTTGTTCTGAAAAAAAAATGCCTTTGTTCTTCCTCTGTTTTTCGACTGAACTCTTTGCTTTACCTTTCTCCTACTTTTCTATTTGTGTTTCAATTGAACTCTTTGTCTTGCCTTTCTCCTACCTTTTCTGTTTTTCAATCGAACTGTTTGTTTTTTTTTTTTGTTAATCTTTCTTCAATACGATAGCCAAGACAACCACCTAAACCCCAATCATGGGGCTAGTATTGCGTATCTGCATAAGAGCACACGATTGTCGTCAAGGAAAAAAGAACTAATAGCCTATATTAACCATCACAATCTATATAACCAAACAAAGCAAGCACAGCAGAGTAGCAGACAGCTCTGAAAGATTTACTCCACCTCAGGACGCAGAAACAAATTTTGCAACACCACAGATTTCCGTACATTGCATCATTCAGCACAAAAGTGGTAGTACATCATCAGCGTTCAGGAGTTGCTTTTGGTTTTTCAGCACATATATTACAAGCAACAGTAGCAGTAGTGCAGCACACCCATGACTCGTGAAAAAAAGAAAACAAGAGAAGACATCTGCAAAAACTAGCTGGGATGGATTGGGGCAGAGCTTCTATTAGTCAGGAACGTTCCAACACTGGGTTGATCGTTGAGGACGAACTATTTCTTTTGCTTTGCACGATAGTCAGCAGCTGCTGCTTTGATGGTAGACTTGGCGAGTGAGGTTGGCTTTAGGACGCTCTTCGGGTTCAAGGCCTGCCGAATCTTGAACACTGCCCATGCTGTCCCGATTGCGTGGCCTGCTGCATCCATCCCTTCATTGGTCGCAGCCGCGGCTTTCTCCCCATATCTGCAGAGCAGACCCAATGTAAGAGCTTAAGAAGAATCTCTATTGATCATTTGATCAATTCCACTACATAAGGAAGAATTAGAGAAAAAGGATGTGCATATGATGTGCTTCAGATATGGATGTAGGACACGTAAGAAGTAGTAGAAATCTACATATAAAGAGAGGAGAAATGAGTGGAAAGGAGAATAACTCGTACTTGTGGGATACAAGACCGGTAGTCACAGTTGATGATGTGGACAGAACATTCGTTCCAGCCACTTCGACTGCGTCGCAAATCTTCCCTGTTGGCATGAATTAACGATATGTAAGAAAGACAATGTTACCATAATCCAAAGTGATTAGCTCCAACGAGCCAAATTACCATAAGAAATTACTGCTTCAAAGAATGTGTTCGGGTAAATCTGTATATTTTGTTAACTGTTATACTGAAGTAGATATATCGCATAAGAGATATAAAGTACTATTTCATCGGAAAGCATGGCGGCAAACAGAATATGTCCCTAAATGTATCTAACATGTTGAGCTAAGGTCAACCAGCATCAGAAATGAAAAATAGCATAATCAGTGGTTGGAAGTACAAAGTGGCAGCAGCTGATTTAATATGAGCTGATCCAGAAGGAGCATGCCAAATTAAACAGAGGAAATGGAGAGCCAAGAAAAAGAATTGTATTTCATTCCAAATTTAAGTCACCAGAGTACATGCTTCTTATGCTAACTTCAGATTTGGCAAAAATTTGTATCCATCAAGTTATGCAAATTCACAGGATATATGCGACCAAAAAACCCAAGCAAAGCCTTACCTACGTCAGATAATTATGACTTATATAATGCAACCCACAGGGATATTCAAATTAGAAACAGAAAAAAAATCTGCTCATGAGTCATGACACAGGTGTTGTCTAGGTGAGTTTAAGAATAACATAAATTTATTAAATTATGAAACCAGGTTTCATGTCTGAATAAAGCAAACATATCAACACTCATTATACCATTAAAAAAAACAATAATGCAAAGCAGACCCATTATGTAACACTAACCAGATACAATAGAAAAGTTAAAGAATCATACCGAATCCATCAAGCGAAGCAAGAACAATCTCTCCAGGTAACAAATTAAAGAACTTCTTGCCAGCTTTTGAGTTAGCTATTGAGTTTGTAAAATAGCCAGTAACCTTTACAACTCCGGATAGTATTCCAGTTGCCACTTTCTCAGACATTTTTGTCACCATCTTGACCCTGGCAACAATCACAAGCATGAATTCCTTGAAGCGGAAAATTGTTAATGCTTGATTTAACACAATATCTCCCTGCAACGTCTATTCTCATAGACACTAAAACCATCCAAATCTAACATGATGTCGGTGTGATGGCAATAATAATAAGCAGGGAGCATACCTATTTATTTAAATGGTTTTGTAACCCAGCAAAAATCTTTAAATAAAAGAGAAACACAATGAAGGCACATTGTATCATCCTTTTTGGATAGACATACAGAAATGGTAATACTATCACACTTTAGCAATGTAAAGTTGTAAACTAATGAACCATGGAGAACTGAAAGCCTGAAACTGCATTCATGCCCTGATAACTAAATCCCAAATCATACTGGATAAATTTGGTTGACATCGGTTAATTCAAATCACAATTACAACTAAAATGTGAGATAGAGTTACTACCTTTTGATCCGCCTCAACATCTCGGGGCTGACCTCGGCGTCGGCGTCGCCGGGCTGCATCCTCCTCTTGAGGACCTCGTTTCCCCACCGGAGCCTGTCCACCGTCAGTTCACTGCACCACAGAATCCCCTTGGCCAGGTGCCCGGCCCCCGTCGCGATCGCATTTGCCACCTTCCCGCCGTACTCCTCCACATTGGGCGCCACCGCCGTCCAGTACGCCGCCGCCTCCACCTCGTCGCGAACCTTGCTCGCCAACGCCTCGCCGCCGACCACGGACTGGACGGAGAAGCTGGTGTACGTGGCGAGGATGCCATCGAGGCGCGGGTCGGGGTGGGAGAGCGTGAGGCCGTAATGGAGAGGGCCGGGGTTGGGGTCGTCGGCGGAGGGCGGCACGGTGAGGGAGAAGGAATAGTGGCAGGGGTCGAGCTTCACCGAGGCGACGTCGCGCGCGAGCGGCCACTGGATGGGGTGGAGGAGCGCGATGGCGGCGAGGGAGGTGTCGCCGGAGCGGATGCGGAGCAGCGAGAGGTCGCCGGCGGCGAGCGGGTAGCTGCGGTGGCGGTCGATGAGGTGGAGCTGCGCCCCCGGGATCCGGAGCAGGACGTCCTCCGACGGTGGCGGGGCATTGGCGTAGGCGTCGACGGGGGTGGCCGGAGACGCCGGGGACATCGGCGACGAGGGGGAGGAGGGGCCTATCTGGACGGGCGCGAGATCGGCCATGCTGAGCGTGGGGTAGAGCGGCGGAGCGGAGGGAGCAGGGCTAGGGTTAGGGTTAGGGTTAGGGTTGGAGGTGTTGCCGTAGTAGCAGTAGGAAGCCATGGGAGCGCGCCACGGGGGGGAATATACGCCGCCGGGGACGGTGGAGGGGCGGCGGCTCGCCGGCGACGTGGCGCTTGTATAGGGAGAGCCGGCCGCGTACGTGGCGACGGAGCCCGGTGGGACCCACGCGGTTTGGGGGAGGTGGGTCCCGCATGGCTGTGTTTAACTAATTGGGTGGTTAGTTTTCCCATTTATGGCGATGCTTCTCGTCAATGACTTGTGGGGTCCGTTGAAAGTGTTAACTGGTGGACCATGTTTTCCTGGACCCACCTGTCGGTGGGTAGCTTTGGGTGAAGAGTAACCGGCCCACGAGGAGGTCACGCTACCCGATGCCGATATCGGCGGAGGGAGCTGACGAGAAGCTACGCTATTTATCTTTCTGACGTGTGGGCCCATATTGGCCGTCCTATCCACAGCAGCTTTCCTCCATGAGTAAGCAACCTCGCGGCCATAGCAACAGCATCCAATCCATCCATGCCCAATGCGGTAAGTAATCTGGTTAATGATCTAGTAGTAGGCTTCGTTTGGAATATGATTACTACGTGTAACAACTTTTAGTTGGATGGAATGTATCCCAATAATATAAATCTGGATATACCATGTCTAGATTTACAGTAATACGTTCCATCCAAGCAAAATTTACTATATTTTGATATGGAGGGAGTAGCTTTTTTAATGTAATTTTCAGCTTCCATATAGTTCAAATTCAGAAAATAAGCTACCCTTTAGAACCGGAGGACTGAAAATCTAGCTTTTTGCATATTCTCATGCCAGTCGCCCACCAATTTGTTAGAATCTTAGACTGAATTTGAAACAGATTATTGACAGTGACGGAGCTAAAAATTTACAAATAGTAAGGGCCTGTTTGGTACAGTTCCAACTCCTAAATTTAACTCCAGGAGTTGAGTCTGGAGTGGAGTTGTGGAGCTGTCTAAACCCAGCTCCACAACTCTAGTTCATTTTGTGAGAGAGCTCCACCCAGCTCCACTCCCAGTTTTGGTGGAGCCGAAACTGTTTGGCTGAGCTCCAGCTCTAGAAGGGGTGAAGCTGGAGCTGGAGCTGTGCCAAACAGGCCCTAAGGCTCAACCAACAAAGTCTACCGCTTAATTAATAGAATTTGTTGAATCTTCAGACTTTCCATGAATTCTTAGATGGATTTATAAGGGATTAAGGAGATAAGCTTAGGGCATATTCAATGGTAGAGACGAGTATGGTCTCTTGAACAATACATGATTATTTAGAGACCATGTCTTTACAATAATTAAGACGATAAAGGCTCTAATCATTAACTCAAAAATATTCCGTTCATTAATATTCTTTCCTTTTTTTTTTACCCCCATGCAACCATATTTCCATATTATAGTGATTAAGAGTCGTTGTTAAGCCGTTGTTATGCATAATAACGATGTTTTGTCTATCCTCTTTCGCTTTCCTCCATGTCAACAAGTATTCCTAATTAACAACACTAAGAGTCCACTATTGATAACCATTGTACATGCCCTTAGGGCTCAAGCCCATTTTTTTGTCTGGGAAATGAACAAGGCGCAGCCCGATATCCACTAGGACTTTTACTTGCCCTGATGTAGTTGATGCCCAGCCCAACTTCACATCATCATCACCTATTCACACTCTCTAATATTCTGATTCCTGCAGCTTTACATATATCTACATCCACTAATCAACTTTCACAAGCAACTATCTGAGAAAACAAAGGCCTTTCAGCAATGCAATGCTCAAAGCAGGGTCTACCATATCTATCCTGCATCTGCATGCAAGGAATATGTGCCATCTACTTGCATGAGCAACAAACAAAATGCAGTGACTCAGGAATATATCCTCCTGAGTCAAATCCAAGATGAGTAATGAAAAGAAGAATAAAGGCTCAAAGGCAGGTTAGGTGTTGTGTGTTCTTTCTTTCGCATGCTTTGGATTCGATTCTGCACTGACGGATACGTATACTGATTTACACATATCGCACTATCATACCTAAATTCGTTCCCCTTTTAGGATTCCCATCTCATATTTAGCGTCAAATTCTTCGATCCTAGATATGGAAAAATAGACAGAAAAAAAAAACATGACAATGAAATAACGAATAGAACTGCTAGTTCAGATCATTAGCCCCGGAGATAAGACATTTCAACTTCAACTTTACTAATATGCACATATTCATTTAGCTATTACGCATAGCAGAAAAGCAGTAGTAATCCGCCTGTTATTGTACACGTCAACCACACGCGGCAAAAGTACCAGCTAAGCCAAAATTAATTAGCCGCTAATTAAGCGCACACATTAACAGCAAACAATACCGTTAAGTTTGGGGTTCAGAAGGTGACGAGGAGGTCACCACTATTGGGCTGGGCCGAGTTTGGGTTGGAGAGCATGTGGACGACCTCGCGCATGGTGGGCCGGGCCGTGCTCGCCTCCTCCACGCACGCCATGGCCACCTTGTACAGGTTCACCATCAGCGCCACCGGCTCCGGCGTCAGGCGGCGGTCGGCCACGGCGAGGACGGCCGCCGTGTCGGAGTTGTCCGGCAGCTCGGCGGTCACCTTGCGGACCCAGTGCACGATGTCCACGCCGTCACCGAACCCGCCCACGGGGCGGCGTCCGGTGATGAGCTCCAATAGCACCACACCGAAGCTATACACGTCGCTCTTCTCGTCCACTCGCAGCGTGTATGCGTACTCTGCAAACACAAATAGTACATAGGATTGATGAATCAGTTAGATGATACCTAACATACCATTTTTAGATTATCAATCAAAAAGATATTAGTGTACCGATCCTTTCCCAACGCGCATAACTGAATGTAACTACAGCCATTAGAGCTGCACATTTGCATAACTGAATGTAACCACAGCCACTAGACAGAATTTTCATTTTTCAGGGTAGTGCATCACACTCGAATCGTTTGAAAGACAGGTTATCCTGAAGCTACGTACTTCACCAACAACACCATTTAAGAGTGGACTGACAAGTCAATAAGGAGCAGATCTACCATGGAGATACAGCCAAGATACGAACGTGATACAGCTACAGTAGAACAGTATCTCCTCCAATTATCCAAGAGAGTGCCAGTGTGCCACACACGAGGCAACAAGACGACACAATATGAATGCTAGTACTCCAAAGGCAGGAGACTATCCATTAATCCAAAGGTAGCCAAATTGCCTTGCCTGCCATTGACCATACATATGGCTGCAAGATCTGCTTCTGTAGAATCCAAAGAAACAGAGCAGAAAACTGAACTGACCATTAATCACAATCACTGCTACAGCCATGCAACGGCAAGAACTGTAGCTGTAACTTTTGTTTGCTGTCTGCAGAAAAAAAAAAGTTCACACTTTGGCCCAAAGGTAACATTTGTCCTCTCCCCAGTTGACCGTGCACAAGGCAACAAGGATTGTGCTCAGAGGAAAGCACAAGCTGCAGTACAGTACTAGTGCAGTTCCAGTGGATGGAACGTGGCTGCATCTCCATGCAGGGGCCCCCTCTATTATTGCCTCTACGTAAAGTTTACAATTTTTCAATGACACTTCGTATAATCGTATCAGATCATTTCAATTATATTAGTTATAGTTAGAACCATTATTTATTTTAAGCACATTAAAAGTTTGTTCTTTGTCATGGTCCAGATATAAAGTTTGTTCCTTGTCATGGTTAAACAGAAAAGGTTTGTTCATTCAACACATGGATCAGAAAAAAAAAGTTTGTTCTTTCAACACATGGATCAGGATAAACTTGTTGGGTCTTGGAATTCAATATTTTTCAAACAGATTCATTTCGGTAAATTTAGTACTACAGTACTGTAGTGGTTCGCATTGAAAAAGAATAGTAATAAGAAATAGGCTAAAAATAATATGGAGAAATTATTTTGGGTGGTTACCTGGCGCGATGTAGCCGTAGGAGCCAGCAATGGCGGACATGCACTCGGAGGTGGCGCCGCCGAGGAACTTGGCGAGGCCGAAGTCGGCGACGTGCGCCTCGAAGGCGGAGTCGAGGAGGATGTTGTTGGACTTGACGTCGCGGTGGATGATCCTCGGGGCGCAGTCATGGTGGAGGTAGCAGAGGCCGCACGCCGCCTCCGCCGCCACCCGCGCCCTCGCCTCCCACCCGAGGTGCCCCCCCTTCCCGCCATGGAGCATCTCCCCCAGCGACCCATTCGGCATGTACTCGTACAGCAGCAGGTTCGTCTCCCTGTTCGACACGAACCCCAGCAGCCTCACGATGTTCCGGTGCCTGATCCTCCCCAGCGTCGTCACCTCCGCCGAGAACCCCCGGTCGTGCTCGCCGCCGCCGCGCCCCACCAACCGCTTGATCGCCAGCTCCGCCCCGCGCGTCACGCCGTGGTACACGATCCCCGCGCCGCCCTTCCCGATGATGTTGTCCTCCTTCACGCACTCCACCACGTCCTCCGCCGAGAACTCCAGCTTCTGGAACGCCGTCATCTTCCACGCCCCCGACCGCCGCCGCGCCGCCGACCGCCACGCCGAGCACCCCTTCCTCGCGCCCAGGAACGCCACCGCCACCGCCGCGAACGCCGCCACCAGCGCCACCAGCATCTTCTTCGAGTCCCACCGCAGCCGCAGCTGGGACCCCGCGCCGCCGCCGCCGCCGGCCATGGACGGAGGGCACGCGTCGGCCACGGGGCCGCCGCACAGCCCCGGGTTGCCGACGAACGAGCTCTCGTTGAACACCAAGAACTGCCCCTGCATCGGCACGGGGCCCGAGAGGCTGTTGTACGACACGTCGAGCGTCGTGAGGCTCGTCATGTTGGACATCTCCGGCGGGAGCTCGCCGGTGAGCCTGTTCCTGGACACGTTCAGCGTGCACAGTATCTTGAGCGACGTGATGCTCTCCGGTATCTCGCCGGAGAAGCCGTTACGGCTGAGGTCGACGGCGGCGAGGGAGGCGCAGCGGATGAGCTCGTCTGGAATGGCGCCGGTGAGCGCGTTGCCGCTGACGTTGAGCCTGGACAGGTTCTTGAGATTGCCGATCTCCGGTGGCAGCGCTCCGGAGAAGTTGTTGGACTCCAGCGACAGCGTCTGCAGCGCCGGGAGGTTGCCGATGGCCGGAGGGATGCGGCCACCGATCCCATTGTTCCCCAGCAGCAGCATGCCGATCTTGTCGCCGCCGATCACGTCCGGGAGCTCGCCGGTGAGCAGGTTGTCGGTGAGCTCCACCATGTTGGCCTGCGGGAGGTTGAAGAGCCCGGCGGGAACCGGGCCGGTCAAGAAGTTCTTGGCGAGGCGGACGCGCGTGAGCGTCTTGCAGTCGCCGAGCGAGTCCGGGATGGGGCCGAACAGGCCGTTCTCCATGAGCACGAGCATCTCCAGCCGCCGGCCGGCGCAGAGGTCCGCCGGGATGGGGCCGGTGAGGTGGTTGGTGGCCAGGTCGAGCGTCTTGAGGCGGCCGTTCTTCCCGAGCCCGGCGGGGATGTTGCCGGTGAGGTTGTTGTCCCACAGCTGCAGCACCTCGAGCTGCGCGAAGCCGGCGACGAAGTCCGGTATGCTGCCGCGGAGGTGGTTCCGGAAGAGGTTGAGGAGCTTGAGGTTGGAGAGGTTGGCGAGGCTGGGAGGGATCTCGCCGGCGAGGTCGTTGACGGAGAGGTCGAGCGACGCGAGGCTGCTGAGATCGCCGAGCTGCGGCGGTATCTCGCCGGAGAGGCGGTTCCACTGCAGGAAGAGCGTGTCGAGGCGCTGGAGTCGGCCGAGCTCCGGCGGGACGGGGCCGGTGAGGTTGCAGCTGCTCATGTCGAGGCGGAGGAGCGCGCCGAGGTCGCCGAACTCCGGCGGGACGCCGCCGTCGTACTGGTTGTAGTATCCGATGTACATCTCGCGGAGGCGGGTGAGGCGGGAGAGGGAGACGGGGACATGGCCGGAGAGCGTGTTGCCGTTGAGTCCAAGGTACTCGAGCGCGGCGAGGTCGCCATAGCTGTCCGGGATTGCGCCGGTGAAGTAGTTGCCGCCGAGGTGGAGGTAGCGGAGGCGAGCGTGTGAAGCGGAGAAGGGAGGAAGCAACCCTGAGAGGTTGTTGTTGTAAGCGTCGATGAGCTCGAGCGAGGGGAAGTAGGGGGAGGCGCCACCGCCGGAGTCGGGGACGGGGAAGTGGCCGGAAAGGTTGTTGTTGGAGAGGTTGAGGTGGCGGAGAGAGGGGAGGGTGGGGAGCTCGAGGGGGACGTGGCCGGGGAGGCAGCAGGCGGCGATGGTGAGGTTGGCGAGGGAGTCAAGGAGGGCGATCTCGGGCGGGAGGTAGCCGGAGTGGAGCGGGAGGGCGGTGAGGTTGATGGCGACGACGCGGGAGCGGCCGTCGCAGGTGACGCCGGAGAAGGTGCAGTGCGCGGGGGAGGTCGCGGCCGGGTCCCAGTCGGCGAGCGGCGGTGGGGCGGTGGCGGAGGGGGATGGGACGAGCGCCGCCTTGAGCTTGGCGAGCGCGTAGATGTCGCGGTCGGGGGAGGCGAGGGAGGGTGGGAGGAGGAGGAGGAGGAGGAGGAGAGTAGGAGGCATTGTGAAATGCGATGGTGAGAGGGGGAGGGGGAGGAGGCGGGGTGGTGGCGGGAATAAAAGGAAGGCGGGCGCGCGGCCTGCAGGCTGCAAGGAATGGAGCAGAAGCAGAAGCAGAAGCAGAAGCTGTGGGAGTCACTGACGGCGTTAGGTTGGCGTGGTCAATGCGGCATGTACAGATACCAGAGGACGACGACGACGAGGCGGAGACTGACAGACCGGGCGCGGAGACGATGGGACGGGACGAGATGGCCGGAGACGTGTGTGGCAGACACACACACACACAGAGCCTTCCCTTCTTCCCTTCCTCCATTGATTGATCGCGGGCTGCTGGGCTGCTGCCACCAGGGGCGGCTACTAGCCTTTCTGCTGTTTACCAGGAGTACGTTTGAACTAGTAGGGGTGTATAGTTCATACCAAAATTAAAAGTTTAGTTGAAATTAAAACAATGTGATGAAAAATTTGAAAGTTTATGTATATAGGTAAGTTTTTATGTGATGGAAAAGTTGAAAGTTTGAAGAAAAACTTTGGATCTAAACTTGGCTTAGTATTAGTCTAGCACGGAGATCATCTTCGCCCTTGGTTAGGTGGTGTTTGGATCTAGGGATTTAACTTCAGTCTATGTATTTAGACACTAATTCATAGTGTTAAATATAGACTATTTACAAAACTAATTACATAAAATGAAAGATAATTTGCGAGACAAATTTTTTAAGCTTAATTAATCTATAATTAGAGAATGTTTACTGTAGCATCACATAGGCTAACTATGGATTAATTAGGCTCAATAGATTCGTCTCGTGAATTAGTCTAAGATTATGGATGGTTTTTATTAATAGTCTACGTTTAATATTTATAATTAGTGTCCAAACATCCGATGTTATAGGGACTTAAAAGTTTTAGTCCCATCTAAATAGGGTCTAGTTTCCAACTTTTTCTTCAGACTTTCAAATTTTTCATCACATCAAAACTTTCCTACACACATAAGCTTTCAATTTTAATCAAACTTTATTAAACTTTCGTTTGATTTTGAGCAAATTTTTAGCTAAACCGAAATTGTTTGGTCAAAACTATCAGGGTCTTTTTTTTAATTTGAGGAAAAACAAAAGGATTGAAGATCCTGGGGATTACCGACTACAGGAGTCGATCGTAGGAAACCTGGTTTAGTTTCCAACTTTTTAAAAAAAATTTCTAACTTTTATATCACATCAAAACTTTCTTACACATATAAACTTTTAACTTTTCTGTCACACCGTTCTAATTTCAACCAAACTTCTAATTTTGACGTGAATTAAACACACCCCAAATTTTCATATCCAACCCATAGAAAAAAAAATACCAACTCACTCTAAACTGTTTTCTTTTTTCCTTCGAGTTGGAACGAGACAACCAATTCATCGAGCAACCATAATAACCAGATCAAAAGAATTAAAAGTATACTTCCTCCTTCACTAATATATGGTGTTGGTTAGTTCATTTTTGAATTAAAATGAAATGTGGGAGGACTTATTTTTCACTAATTTTACTTAAAATATACAGGTTTAAAAAGAATGGATTGTTGTCTTCAAAAGCGCGCGAATTGGCTCTCCCCTAGCAAGCGAGTTCGCAATGCCATCCTACGAACTTTACACGAGCAATTCAATCGTATTTACGTGTTCTTTTTTCTGTTTCTATGTGTTTTATAATCACGTGTTTCAATGGAACCCTAACTTTTGCTATGGAGTACAAATTTAACTAGGTGTTTCACAAAACTGCATTAATAGCAAAAAATTTTATCCCTTACGTGTAGATGACATGTGGGCTTGTTTTACAACGACTTGGGTATTTGTTGGGTTGGGTTGGTAACTTAGGCATGAACTTATCTGAGAAATAAAAATTACAGCTTTTTATAAATTTATATGCTACTGTAGTTATCTTTTTATAAAGATGCATACTACAGTTTTTAAAAGGAAAAATAGTTTTTAAAATTGAATGTGCTTCTTGGTACTGGCAAGCCTTTCTGTCGCCCTGCCACAAAAGTTGTGGCTTGTCTAGCTTGTGGATCATCCAACGGCCAGCAACGTACCAGCACCAATCCGTCAGCGGTCCAGCTTAACTGACACGGTACTACGTACAACTCCCTGCAACTCGTGTGATCCGGATCTCATCTCACTGCACTGCACTGTCAATGGCGATTTTCTGCTGTCCAAAACAATTCTGAAACCGCTTTCCTTTTCTTTTTCTTCTAGAACTGTAATCCAACTCCCTGGAGTAGTATTGAATTACAACTCCACACATATTGAAATGGACATATCCGGACAAGTTTGGATTGTGATCCATTGAAAAGGTACTAGTAGGACACAATTTAAGATGAGGAAAAATATGGAAATTTTGGAGGATTTCAATTCTATAGGAAAATTTTCTTTGAAGCCCTTTAAAACAAAAGGATTGAATCATATCCAATCCTTTAAAATTCCTATGGAATGAGTAATTTTATAGAGATTTTGGAGAAAATTTAGCAAGAGCTTCAACCTCTTGGTAACTTTTCTTTGAGTCTATCTCTCTTATCCAATTCCTATGTTTTTCTTGCAGTTCAATCAAACGATTATTGATGTGTTTTTCCTCCTGCGTTTTACGATCCTCTATTTTCCTATCAAAATTGTACGTTTTTTTTTTCTGTTCATAAGTTTTTTCAATCGTGCCATTCAAAGGGCCCTTATATCTGAACTCAATGCATGGTTTGCTTTGCCACTGGCACTGGAACTGTAGCCTACTCCAAGCATCAGCAGAAAGGGAAGGGAAGCAAGGCTAATCAAGTCGTCTTCTTTCCGAGCAAGGCCTGGTTTAGTTCTAAATTTTTTCTTCAAACTTTTAATTTTTCTATCATATTAAAATTTTTCTACACATATAAATTTTTAATTTTTTTATCACATTATTTCAATTTTAACCAAACTTTTAATTTTAGCATGAACTAGTAGTAGTACAGCACCATCTGCAGCTGCAGCCAGTGTTCATGTGTGCTACTGCTACAGCTAACAGGCAGCAGCTGTGCTGTGCTGTGCTGTGCTACGGCTGCTGCTACTCGCCTGCCTCTGGTCGTCTATCATCTGCCCATCAACTGATTGATGCTCAAGTCTTCGCGTAAAGCCAAAGCAAGAAGCTCACACAAAAGCCTCTCCAGTACACTCTGCTCATCACTCGTCAGGGTGCTCGATCTCTGCTGGAAGATTTGCTTGGGCATTTGAATGCTTTTGGACAAGTCAAGTGAAGTACTATATATCTCCCCTATTCCAATATAAGGCCGTGTTTAGTTTTTCCGTATTCTCAACTTTCCACCACATCATATTACATCAAAAACTTTCCTACACACATAAACTTTTAATTTTTTTTTCAAACTCATAACTTTTTATAAAGTTTCAACTTTTTTTTAAGAACTAAACACACCCTAAGTGCAGTTGTAAATTTTTATATTTTTGCAACCCAGTATTTTCAAAACATGAAACGAAACGTAGACCTCGAGCGTCTTGACATTTTTAAATCCGATGGATAGAAAATACCGAAAAACCTACATGAACGACTGTTTGGATAGAACGCGAGAAAACATTAGAATTAGAATTTTAGGAAAACATAAATCAAAAGAGAGATCCTAGACGTAAAGAATTTTTTTTCAAAAGATTAAATCTTATATTATTGAAAATCCAATCCTTCAAAATTCCTGTTACAAAAAAAGCAATAGCTTGTTCAGCTCTCTTGTTGTTCAAGGCGTTTTGGTCTATGGCATCGGCAGTAACAGCGACGAGTCTTAATGACAAAATAGGCACATATCGACTAGTAGCTAGTCTCTGTTGGCTGGCACCTGATGCTGCCTAACCTGTCTGCCAACATTACAATTTTGTTGGCGTTGACACTTGAGTTTACTACCAGTAGTATCAACAATAAAGTGGACTAATACAGAGATAAAGCGAAGAGAAAACAACAAACTAAAAGTAATTAGAATCTACTACTACTCCACTTCACTATGGAATCAATTATCAGTGAAGAGCACAAAGTCCAGCTTCATGACATGTCAGGGCATCCACACACGGTCGACAGCATAATGCTACCGCCCACTAAACTAGACTTACCTGCATGATTAATCATTCAATAATCAGATCAGTGGAGGAAAGAAAGAAAGAAAGAAAGCAGTAGTTCTAATGGCAGTGGTAGAGAGTAGAGAGGTGTAGGTTGATGATAAGGATTGGCTGCACGTACAGCAGCATCTCACAACAGAAACTGAGAAAAGAGAGAGAGAGTTTACCATCAAGAACATATATATTCCATTAACCTGCTCTTTTTTTGTGTTTTGTCATTTAACAAGCAGTGTTAGGAGATGTTCTAGCTACTCCAGCCCCTACAAGTGTCAATCAGTGTGTGCAAGATCGATCCACAGGACAAGAAAGCTAGAGCTGCAGCCAGTACACGAAAAGGCTCGATATCTCACCACGAGCGAACCTTCAGTTGCTTTAAAATTCTTTTTATCATGCATGGTGCCGGCCTGGTTAAATTAGTGGAGGAATAGAATCACACTAAGTTAGATGTTTAATCGCAAGAAAATGGCGTCCATCCATGCCCGACCTGACCTGACCTGGGGGTGGTGAATGGAATGGAAAGAAAGCCTAGCTACTAGTACTAGTGATTCCATGGGTGACACAGAATCGATGCGAGTCTTGTCTGAATCCTTCGCTTTGCTCTGCATTTCATTGTTAGGCAGGATGCAGAGGAAGAAGAAGAAGAGGGCTCCTTGTCAATGTCAACTCCTCCCTCTTCTTTTAACTTTTTTTTTGCTTTGCATCTTGTCGCCAACTCAATTCGCCATGGCCGATGACGACGATGACCAAGATGAGGTGAGGCCCATTCACTTAGCGGGCCGAAACACGGGCCGGCCCAGCACGAGAATCAAAGCAGAGACAGACCGAGCTGTGCCCTAGCACAAAGCCGGCCGCCGCCGCCGCGCGCTCGTCTCGTTCGCCTCTCCTCTGCGTCGCCGCCGCCGTCCCGACGATTCAAGGTATCCTACTCTCCCTATTACTCTGGTTCGGTAGAATTAATCTTGGTGGTCAGCACTTGGTTGGTTGGTCGAATATGAATTAGCGTATGAGCAGCTAACCTTTTTGATTCATGTGGTGCCCAATTGTTTCTTGTGAAATCGCAAGAAAAAAATATTTGTTTCTTGTGATGTATAGGGTTCGTTCCTCTGGTTGATTTGATTTGGTTATGGCAAACGGCAGCTTCTGCAAAGAATTTTACTACTCTTGTCCTGTTTGTGCAAGCTTAAGGCTTCTGTGTAACTGTATAGAATGCAACAACAGTGTGTTCTTTTGGGAAGATTTGGTCGTAATGTGAGAGGTCAATGGGTCATAGCTCTGCATCACTCTAGATCAAGTTTGGTGAATCTTTATCGGACATTTTACCTGTCAAGAAGTGTGTAAGAAGAACAACTAAGAAAGGCAATCACCTTCTTTGCACTAGAACTGATAGGCAAGATAGAACTCATTTAACTGTAGCTGCAAAACATCAGAACTTTAACTCGTGTGTTTTTAAATTCCATGGACAATGGTCTGCTTGTACTAGGATCTTAAATAGAAACGTCTGATTCTACATATCTTCACAAAATGCTTAGTACTTGCTGCTCTCAAGCACTTAATTATGTTCAACCCTTCTTTTGCCACTGCTGCTGGTTTCACACCTTCCAATTGTTGCGATGATTTCCCTATCTATATTACACATACAAATTCCAGCAAAACCTGTTCTCACATTCAGCTGCGAATTATGTTGGCAGGTTCAAGAGTCGATGGAAGACCAAACAGCTGCTGCAGCAGGTCTTGATTCAAGAGTGAAAGCCAGCTTGGTTCTTGGAACAGAATCATTTGCAATCAGTTCAGAGTCCGGTATTCTATCGGAGCAGCTGGCTGCTATGAAGGAGAAGAGCATGGAGATCCTGAAGGGCTACATCACCAAGCATAATGCTCCCGCTGATGTCCCTGATGAACCCATCGAGGGATTATCTGATGATGAAGGAGACGCACCTGCTAAGAACCCACCAAAGAAACCTAAGAAGCAGAAGTGATCATCCAATTGTAATGGAAAAGGTTGATCTGGAAAAGATGTGATCGTCCTATCGTTGGATTCATGATGCTTAGAATTTGTAAGAAATTAGCTGCTCGTACAATAGTTTGCTCAAAGGCTGAACACACTGTATTTCTCCAGCTAGATGCAGATCTGCCCATTAACTTGTATGAGTAAGATATATCAACTTGAGGGGTACATGTAAACTGCAGCATAAGAAATTCTGGCAATTGCATATGCTATCATGAGTATTCAATCACTTGTTCGAGCTCCTCAGCAAAATTCTGAGCCCAGCGACCAACACAGGCCTGAGTTACAGACTTACGGCCTGATTTGGCCGTTCAGTCAAGTAGGAAATTATAGTATATAAAGGTAAGGTTTAAAGAAAGCAAAAGGGCAGATAACATTCTTCCTTCCGCACAGCAGATTTGTTTTGGCGTTTTTTAGTTATCTGTACATTCAACAGAGCGAACTGTGCTAGAATACTTTTAGGAATCACATTCTTTTCCTACATCAGGTGTACACCGAGTGCTAAAGCTCTGTTTCTTGGTCTTGTAAAAGAAAAAAAAATCCTCAAAGCATCTTCCTTGTTAAGTTTAACTTGTTCATCATCTTGGTGTAGTCCTGGTCACTCGTTGAAGATATGGAGAGCACAAGGACCTACTGATTAAGAACATTTTGGCCCCTCCCTTCGGAGTATGAAACAAGGGAAGCTAGCTTTATAATCAGTTCCAATTCTGTATCTGCAGTCTTGCCCCTTGATCAGAGTGCAGAAGTCAGATAAAAAGGCAGGCATACCATTTCCTCGGCAACATTTTCGTGGATTTCTGCCTTGCACTAATCACAAATGCGGGCAACACCGCCACCACTATTACCATTACTTGCCAGTGTAACCTGATGAAGTTCATTGAGTACCTCAGTAAAATCATCTGGTGGGGGGCATGAGAATTCAAGGATCTTTCCTGAGTGAGGATGCTTAAATCTGAAAAAGGAACAATGTCACACTCAAATGGCAGAAAAATATGAATCGAAATGCATTTGGGATAATACCTACCCAAGCAACGCGGCATGGAGACATGGCCTGTCTATCTTTGATATCATATTTGAAAGATCACAATGATATCTTGAAGGAGTTCTGGGTCTCAAAAGTGACAATGCCATGCTTTTGGTACCTCCGTATGTTTCATCCCCAAGAAGGGGAATCCCTAGGTACTTTGCATGTGCTCGAATCTAAAAATTTAAAGTTGCATGTTCATCAATAAGATAAAAAAAGGTATCCTTGAATAGAATTTTCCAATATTAAGGAGTACTATAGCATATATAGATCAAATTTCAACTGTTGCTCATAATCCTTTGTACCTCTATTTCAAGCCATACAATAGATATGTAACCAAGCACTACCTATGCAAGATGCAAATTTTCTTAATAAAATAAAATAATATGAAAGTATTTTACTAAGGATTGGTGCATCCTTTCTTAAAGAACTGGGATATTGTGGGGGGTCTAATAACCTGGTGAGTTCGTCCTGTCTCCAATCTCCACTCTACTAGTGCTGATCCACCACCAGCAAAGACCTCTCTTACTTTATACCTGTAGAATCTCTTGAGATTAGAAGGCCATCTACTAAGAACTAACATAGCTACTTGACAGATTTTTATTTAAAAGCCAAGCTCTTGTATAAAAATAAGATTGTCGCCATATCTACAAATATAATCACCTACCAGTATGAAGTGCTAACCTAATTTCTGTGATCAGTTGAAATTCATATTTTTTCAAATTCAGGCTGTAACCAGTAAAGCTAGTGTATACAAGGAACCCCCTCTCTTTTTTTTTTCTTTTTCTTTTTCGAAATTCAGGTGGTTATGACTGGAGTTAACACATCTGCTATATTTGAAATGTTTTGACCCAATTTTCCCTTTATCATTCCTTAGTCCTAGCATTAACTGTGGGGCAAAGAAAAGTTGAACCTTTATGTTTCCTGTAATCCATACACAGCTCAACATAATAGACATCTCCACGTAAATAACACTGCTCCTAGTGGCATAACTTCTAAAGTTTGATGCTTGATTAGTTAGCTATTTAGCTTAGTCAGTTCTTGAGATTAATTATATTCAAGCAAATTAAAAGGGAAAAGTGAAAAGCATAAATCACCTACTAGCGGCATGTCGTGCATATCTATGGCCTGATCCAGGAGTGGCAATCATACGGATCCGGTTGTTAGGATCACGAGCTATAGGAACTTCAATCCTGCCAGAATTCGGATTCGGTGCACCACAAGTAAGACTGATGTACACTCTGCGTATTGTATGCAGCTTGAATTGTTCTGCTAATTGTGCATGAGAATGCTCATCCTGTTAACAAGGGGAGAGTACAAAAGGTCTTAATGCTAACTTGGTAGCAATAAAAGAATCTACATTCAATGCAGTAACCCTTGAAATTCCATAAATTATGTGCTAGTTTACAAAAGGAAAAGAGTGTTCTGTTTTGGGTTAGAACAAACCAGTCAGTACCTTGGCTACAACAAGTAGTCCACTTGTACCCTTATCAAGCCTATGCACGATACCAGGACGCACAAGAGCTTCACGGACTTCTGAACTTACTTCGCCAGTAGTAAATTGATCGATGTCAAACACATCAATATCATCATCTGAAGAATCAGGGCATTCATCATCAATTGAATTACGTGCTAAACAGGTAAATGTTGAAATCTTGCAGTGGTGAAGTATAGCATTGACTAAGGTGCCATTTGCATTTCCTGGTGCTGGGTGAACAACCTAAAAGTCACAACAAACAAATATCACCATGCAGGAACAACTGTTTCGTCCATGAATTGAAAATTCAAAACAAGAGTTTAAGGATTAAAGTGAAAATGCATCGATAAAGAAAGACAGGATGTAGGAGCAACCCCAAAAAAATCTCTTATTGGTTGTAAAGGCATATTATCAGCAAATATACAAGACTAGAATATACAACTCTAAATATTTGCAGCTGTGACTTGTGGGACCTGCAATTGCTGGAATGGTAAGACTGTTTCTCATAGAAGAAAGCAGACTAGAGGGCTCCAGAGTCGTGTAAAGTACAGCTTCTGATTGATGCTCGGAGCAAAGCAAACAAAATGCCAAAGACATCAAGCAACAAACTAGCAGAAGCTGTCACCTTAATGGCTTGTTTTGTTTAGAAATGGTGATTGGTGAGATAGAATGTGCAACCTCTAGCCCTTGTGGCAGTGCTTTTGAATGTTTTTTTTGGTGGTGTGGCTCCACTCAGTTTTATTTCGACTGAGCAATTCATTAGAATGAAAGAGTTTAATGTCCTTTAGAGTCTTTAAAAAACCTATTCAGACAAGTGTTGCTTTGGCATCCAGAGAAAATAAGAACCAGGAAACCAAAGCTTGCTCCAGTATCACTGAAATTCTGCAAATATGGCAAAAATCAAATGTTAGAAAAAATGGCGCATACCATATGAGCCGGTTTGTTCACAACGAGAAGATGGTCATCCTCATAAACAATGTCCAGTGGGATGTCCTCTGGCTCTGCTCTCAGTGGCTGCAGCTCCAACACCGTGCAGCTGACAATGTCTCCACCTTTTACCATATGTGAAACCTACATTTCGCAATGAATAGAAAATCGGCTTAAGAATACTATCAATGAGAACCAAACAGATAGTTATTGACATGTAGTTACAACTGCTACTACTTCATGGTCTGATATTTGCAATTGGAAAGATTTGTGCCATGTTCTGTACAAATCTTTACTCTACGGGAGATAGAGAACAATAACTCTAGGAAATTTACTTTGGGCCACCTTTAATTGCTGGTGTTTCGCTTTGGACCATCCTTCAACAAATGTTTTTATTTTGGACCGGATAATTTTACCTTTGTGGCACTTTTGACTACCCTCAACTCTTTTATCCATCTACATCTAATTTGTTGTATGCCAATTGTCAAAGAAATGGACTACATACAGCTCAGCGAGTTTATTGACGAACAGGAGCCGGCGTACTCAAGGTCATTCATATGCTTGAGAAGAGAGTCGAGGTGCTCTAAAGTGAAACAAATGCAAAGATTACACGGCGCAATGTGAAAATATCGGTTAAAGAGTGGTCCAAAGCGAAACATCGGTAAGAAAAGATGGCCAAAAGTGAAATTTACTTGTAACTAACCTAACAATATAGTGATCTTTGCTCTAAAAAACATCTTTACTGTACGGTCTTCAGAATGAGAACACAAACTTAGGTTGAGTTAAGACAGCAAATTAGCAACTATAAATTGTAATTTGCTCAAGACATCGCTTATTGTTGAACTAATAGAAAGATGAAAGCTTAACTGGAAGCAAATGAGGTTTCGGGGAAATCGTGTCACCTTGGAGACGGGACGGCCATTGACGACGACGAGGCCGGCGCGGATGCTCGCCTGGATACGCGCGCGGCTGACGCCTCCGCCCCCGAGCCTCGCGGAGATCCACGCGTCGATCCTCGAGCGCCCCTCGCCGGCCGGCACGGCCTCCTCAAGGCGCGTCCCACCGTGGCCTCCCCTCCGGCTCGGCGCCACCGCCTCAGCATTCGCGTCGGCGGCGAGGCATCTGGCGTGCGATGCCCCCACGCAACGGCTGCTTCTCCTCCTCTGTCGCCGCAGCAGGGCGGAGAGCGCGGTCGCGATCGCCGGCGGCGACGCCGCCGCCGTGGTTGCCATGGGAGATGGGAGGGGGAAGTGAAGTGGGCGAGGTGGATAATGTTTTGGTTAATGGGCCACATTTAGTTTGAAATGGGCCGGGCCGGCCTCCATTTACCCCCCACACAAAAAGGGCCGGAGCTCTCTTTTTTTTTTCTTTTTCTTTTCATTTTTTAAAAAACAACAATACATGCTGCAGTCTAACCATGGAATGGCTACAAAATAAAATTGCGCTATTCCTTTTTTTATGTGATGGCATGGGAGAAAGAGACGTCAACAAATACACATGCACACCACACCTCACACACCTATAAATGGAATAATTAATTATCTGACATTCATACGAGTGGTGATAAAAAATTTATCATTGGACCCATATATTATAGAAAGCGAGTGTTAAATAATTAATTGTCACGTCTTAAAATAGGTAAAAAGTTAAATGTCCCCCTGTAAAAGTACCTTACTATAACACACGCTCGTATAAACGGAGTCATGGAGAGACCAACGATAAATTCCCGGCAGATCCATTTAAAAGTGGAGTCATGGAGAGACCAACAATAGATTCCCGGCAGATCCTATTAAAAATGTGCTATTCTGGATTGTAAGGGATATGATTTTCTAGTGCACATTTATGGTGCTAAATAAAAAGCAAACAATTTGTCAGTTTTTTGGTGGGCTGAATTTAAAACTCGATATTTTATATACATATTAAATGTGAACTAGTAATAAATTAGATGTATTTCATGTTGATTTAGGTGCCGTAGAAAATTGATTACTCCAACATAAGCACAACCAAAATTAAAAACAATTGCATAGTCCAAGTTGTCAACACCCATGTATTTATTCTAGTATAGTATATCTACACACTATGGTTATGAATGACTTGTGCACCCTCCTGATTCTCTTGTTAGGCATCAATCACACCATGATACTGCTGTGACATTTAATTTGTAGTGATCCATTTTGGAAAAGAAAATTGATAATTAAAATAAATGTGATGGGGCCCACAAGAAGCATTAGGACGGTGGCCCCCTCACCATAACTGGCTGGCTCTGATGTAAATGGAAAACTTAGTGCTTGGCACTGTGGATATATGAATTGGCCATGCTTTCTTTTATGGGACAATAGTGGATGTGATCTCTCAAAGATATATTTTTTTCTAAAAAAATTATATACACGGTAATTAAGTCTCAGAACTTTATAATTATTATTTTCTATATTCTTATGGAATTTATTTTTTCTAGTGATCATTAATTTCTTCAGATGTTTTTTTAAATGTAAATTGACTACTGTAAATGTAAACATATATACAACTGAATTTATAACCGATTTAACTACGTGATCCATCACTTATTGCATGTGATATTTCTTTATGTTATTTTGAGAGGCAGATTGCACGTGACGTGATTTTTAATTCATATACGTGAATAATTCACGCACCACTCGTACGTTCTGATCTTTATTTATTTCAGTTCACGGGGTGTGCGTAATGGGTGGGTCAAATCATAGTTCTCATTGATCCCACATATTAAAACATAAGCATATTAATTTATTTATGTTTTTTCAGGCAAAGAAAATGATAAGAAAGTTTTACGCCAGCCTAGCTGTTCAGTACTACGTACTCCTACTAGATATTTTAGCTTAAGATAAAAGGAGATTTTACAAGATGATAATTAGAACCTCTCTGTTGAGACAACTTTTACCCAAAAAAAAAAGTGTCGTTTGACCGCATATATATGACCTGTGCTGTCAGATACTCAAACAGAAACTTTAATTTGGGGAGTTGCACAGTAAAACTAATTATCAACGGCCATTTCAAGCAATAGTTGATTGTGATATTCTTTAAATATGGTCAAAATTGACGGCGTAGCTGGTTGCCTAACTCTGGTTGAAGGGTTTTAGCCATCATCGAATTAAAGTAGTTAGTTCTTTTTCCTACTAAAACGCATGCTAAAAAAACAGGGCTCAAATGGCAATAAATACATGATGCTCACTAAATTCTATTAAAAAGCTAGCATAATCTCGTGTTTAATACATATATATGAACTAAAATTTAATTTTTAAGGGATGAAGTAGCGCACTCACGACGTCATCTCTGTATCTTTATTGTGTTTTTACCGGTAGTACTTAATTAGTTGCATTCTGTTAAAAAGAATTTTTTTTTCTTTTTTGTGGGGAAGAGAGAATATGTTAATTTGGATTTTGCAGTTTTCACACGCTAGCTAGCAGCAGCTTTTACTTAAAAACAGCAGCAATTTGAAACCTTCGTTGATCGAACTGCCTATATCTAATATGTAAATTAGCCATGGTTCTTTTAAGCACAAATTTTACTTATTTTCTGAGAAGTTTACAAGTATTTTATTCTGAAGTTTATGACAAATTATTCAGTTCTTCGAGTGTGTGTTAATGCCCCCTTGAGTTGCTGTATAGAAAACCATTATTAGAAAAACGATTTTCGACCATAGGACCCATTTCACTATACAGGAACTCTAAAAACCCGCCTGTATAGGGGTGTGCGAGAGGATTTGAATATTTGATGGTCGACCGCTTATGAAGATTCATTATCATATACGATCACTTAAGAGGTTTATATGCGAACTGCGAACGTAGATATGTATGCTATATATTGTGTTGTGGATTTGGGAACTTTGGGATTTTGTGTGTGTGGATTTGTGAATTACTGTGAATGTGAATTGGAGTTGAGTCTGGGAAGCTGTCGCCGCTGAGAAACGACGTCTGTGGAATTTTTTTTCGCCGAAAATGTGTATTTCAGGCGGATGGCTCAACTTGGCCGTCTACGAAAATCATGCAAAAATAGATTTTTTAAGGAGTGAACCCTACGTGTACATCCAAGATCTGGGTTTGCACAGTGCATGTGCCCACAAGGATATCGATCTCACTGTGTGAGCAACTGCGTGTACATATGTGTACCCCAGTTGCCGACAATGCAATGTACTGGCTACTAAAACACGCGATGCCACAGTAAACAGTGTCATTATTTATGCTGTAGTTATAAACAGTGTCATTATTGGATCTATCAATTTGAGAAGTATTCTTTTTATGCTAGTAGTCGATCGCATAAAAAAATGTCATGTCAAAATTTATGCTAGTATGGATAAAAATAGCATCATTATTGGATCTATCAAACTGAGAAGTATTTTTTTTCTAAGAAATTATAAACATGTACTTATTAAAAAAGAAGGAACATATACTATGAACACATAATCTTATGGTACACACTCCGTACACACCAACTAACAAAGTTCACCCAAGTTTATAAAAAAAAAGTAGTGCACATATTTTCAATAATATTACACCCATATGGAAATTTTGGCCTAAAAATGACAATTATGACATATAGTTTTAAAACTATCACTTTTTATAGCTAAAATATAATGAATTTGAAGTTGATACTTTATAGATATATGCAATACTGCTGTTGGAAATACGTGTATGCTTGTTAGTTGGTGTGTATAGAATACGGTCCTATAAAAACATATTCTCTTTTTAAAATGCTTGGGCAATAAACTGGCGATGGATTTAATATCTTACATGTGGTACATGTGGACAGGTCACTCTAGATATATACATCATTGCAATTTTCTGATCAATTTACGTTGTGCTGGTAGTACTATATGTATTATGTATACTATATGCCTATATACACGGGTGGAGAAACCCTTTTCAGTCCCAGTTTGCAACTCCTTTAGTCCCAGGTTGTAAATCGGGACCGCGAATCTGGAACTAAAGATGGGTATCTTTAGTCCCAGGTGAAATAACTGGGACTAATTTCACCTGGGACTAAATATAAATCTTTGGTCCAGTTGGTGTTTTCAACCGGGACTAAAAAGTTTTTTTCCATTGTTTTCTGCTTTTTGCATATTGATTTTAAACCGAACTCAACAAAAAAAATCATCTACATTCACAAAATCATCCATAAATTCATAGAATGAACATAGTCAAATTCACATCACAAATTTATAAATCCATATACATCACCTACAAATCAAGAAATTCACATAGAAATCAATAAAACAGACCGCCCGCCGCCGCCCGCTGCGCAGCCCTCTGCCGCGCAGGCCGCCGCCGCAAGCTGCCCACTCCGTCCTGCTCGCTCGCTTGAGAGGATAAGTATAGAGAGGGGATAAGAAAAGAGAGGAGGAGGATAAGGGAAGAGGTGTTTGCTAAAGGATAAGTGCGGGGGATTATATACTATGCGCCGATTTTTAGTCCCGGCTGGTGTTTCCAACCGGGAATAAAAATAGTAGGGGACATACACTTTTTCAACCAGGAATAAAAAACCAACCGGGATTAAAGATCATAAAATGGCTATATAGCTTTTCAACCGAGGCTAAAAATGATCTTTAGTCCTGATTCTTATTCAAACGGGACTAATGTGGTTTTTTAACACCCAGCAAAGATCAATTGATATATAATTCATATAGCAAGCTAACAACAAGAGCATTGAAAGGTAGTTGAGCGTTGGCAAGTCCAAGAACTTTGTGAGTAAAATTCAGTTTCTCCTACCTTCTGTAAGATGGTCCTGCGCCGTAATATGTTCTGTTCATGTGATGTACTAGAGATTATTTCCCCTCAACTATTGTTTTTAATTTATAATAATCACTTTAAGTCTTGAAAAAACCAGCAGCAAGCTACAACATTCGTCTCAAAATATAAGAGATTATGTATTTTTTTCTAAGTCAAACTATCTTCAAGTTTAACCGAATTTACAGAAAAGAACCATATTACTTATCAAATGAGACCATTAGATCCGTTATGAAAGAAATATATTTTCATAGATATTGTTTTTATGTGTAGGTAGATATAGAATTATCTTATTTTAAGAAGCCCCTTTCGAACCTGCTAAGATGAAGATTAAATACTATTAGCGTATGATTAATTGACTTTTATTTATTTTAAATTTTAAAATATATCTATTTGATATTTTAAAATAATTTATATTTATTAATTTTTTTATATAAGTACACTGTTTAGCCATTTAAAAACGTGATAATTAACAGAAACCAGGATAAATCTGTACCTTAATTAATCAACAGAACCTAGACGATCACAAAGTCTTTGAAAAAGGAGGGAATAAAGTTATACTACTCTTGATTATATTTCTGTTAGGATAAGGTTACACTTGAGTATTATATCATCTAGCTAGGAGTACTAGATTAGGTTCTCCAACAGGGCCATACGATCGAAAATAATGAGAACAGACCGGCGAGCGAGCGATCGAACGGACCTGCACACACGATGGATGCTCATTTATACGCATATACACATGGAAACTATTTTAAACTCTTGAGATTCCCTTGTTTATATAAAAATTAGCTAAATAGTTATGAAAAATTTTGAAAAAAAATGAACGTTCATATAACATATATGTACCACTCCACAAAAATTTAGATCCAAACTCAACTCACATATTGAGATATATAAAAAAACAAATTCGGATATAAATAGTAGTGGTATAATTTACCCAAATTTATCTTTTTTTTTCTCAATATACAGATCAAATTTGAAATTAAGTGTTACTCCTAGATGTCACTACCCACTATACTCTAAATTCACATTTTTTTTCTATTTTTTTTCTAAAACTATTTGCATTGAATTTGAAAAAGGAGATACACAAGGGGACATCCCTTAAGGGATATATTAGAATACACCTGCATAATACGAGTACATTCCTTAAGTACTAAAACCGGATTAATGAATCAATAATCTTGATGCATATATGTATATGTGCATGTTAATTAATTGGCAACAGCAAAGATAGGCATCTCGTCCCTATCACAATTCATCGATCACACGTACCTGATCGAGCCCCACGTCGTACAGTGCTGTAGCTCAGTCAATATCAGATCGACCGCCCGGTCGGTCGCTTCAAACCAGTGTTATGTACGTACATACGTATATGCAATGCATATACGTGATCTCACTCCTACGCGTATACATACGCGTGCTAGCTAGCTGGAGTAGTTCAACGGCAGAGCAGTGCTAACTTGAATGAATTCCTTATTGCATATATGTGATGAGATGATGACTGTTAGGAGCTTGTATGGCTTCGTCCTTGGGCATTATATGAATTGTTGCGGTGATCATTAAGGGTCAAATGGAGCTTGTATGTCAGAGTTGGTAAACAATGGTTATATATAAATTTTTGTCAACCATGAATGTGGAGGTTCAGTATAATAGGATTAGGTTCCAGTTTAAATTTCTCTATGTATATTTGTTCTTTTTTACTTTTTTTTTGGAGGAGGGGGGCAGTGGTCTTTCTGGCAGTTGTGTTGTGTATTTGAAACTCTACTTTCTTCTAATATATTGACGTGTAATCCTTTTATGTGTTTGGAGAAAAAAATTATTCTTCTGGTATTAGAGTACTTCTTGCCGTATCTTGTAATATATACTTTATAAACCATCTATAATCTAAAATGACACAAAAACAAGTAATAACATGATATACATCTAAACTTATGAAGTAAATTAAACAACAAGAACAAAACAAAATTCTAACCTATTTTTTGGACTAAATAAATGCAAAAATGAGAAGAGCAAGGTCTTACCCTAAACCCTAGTCACGATAAGATAAAGTATAGCTGCGTGGGAGTCGAACATGAGACAATGACATTCTGCCGACTGGATTGGTTGATGATGGGCATCTGGCCGAACTGGGGCTTAGGCGGTCTCACAACCGGTCTAGGCTCTTCAGCCAGCCTTGAGTTCAGCCCAAGTAGTAAATAAATGTATCAATGGATCCTCGCAAAAAAAAAGTATCAATAGAATAACGGTTTGATATTGAAACAAAAATACTCCTCGTAAATTTTTTTATATTTGGCACTATTGATGTTTTAACATAAATTTGACCATTCATTTTATTATTAAAAATATGTAATTATCATTTAATTTATCGTGATTTATTTTAAAAAAATTAAATAAGATAAATAATGGACAATGTAGTAAAAAAAATGAAAGGAAATATCAATGTAGGACAGTACAGTAAAGGTACGTCGGTCGGTCGGTGCAGAGTATAAAGCAAGGAGCGAAAATATCTGTGTGGCTTCGTACCTGCAGGGGACGGGCTTCTGCCGTGTCTGGACACGATGGGCCTCCCCTGCATTGCATGATTTATTTATTTATTGATCCATTAAATTTTACCCCACTCTTCCACTTGCTATTTATATTAATTTACTCCAATTTATATACTCCACGACAGGAGCGAGCTGAGAACCCTAATTACTACTGCATCCGTTCCAGAAAAAAAAATAATTTTACATCGTTCATCTTCAACATTTGATCATTCTTTTATTTAAAAAAAATTATGATTAATATTTTCTATTGTAGATGATGAAATATAAAGGGTACTTTATGTGTCAATAATTTTTAAAAAAAATTATAAATTTTTTAAATAATACGGACGACTAATTGTTGGATATAAAACTTACAACTACATTTAAAATGTGGGGGAGGTAGTACTTAATTACTGCCCGGAAGATCCACGATGCACATTGCGAATATCTAGCTATTCCAGCTGATGAATGCGTGATACATATTGTATCTGATGAGACTGTTGAGTGATGAAGCTGAAGCTAGCTGATGCCGATGCTGATGCTGAGCAATCTCCAATCTCCCCACGGGGAGAGATTAGCCCAACCAAACCTAACCATGCTCTTCTTCTTCTCCTCCTCGTCGATGAGTATTTAGTCCATCTCCTTAAATGCAGCGGTGCGAGTTAGTTGGCGCCATAAATTCCTTCACTTCAATTTCTTCCTAGCTCAGCTTTCCCCTCTTCTCCTTCTCCTCCTACTACCCAATACGACTACTACTAGTTTTCTTTCTTGGCCATCATCATTTGTTCCTCATCTTACTCTAGCTTCTCCATTCCAAAATTCACCACCGCCGGCGCCGCCATCTCCATTCCAAAATTTGCTCTGCGTCGAGTCGTGTGATCGATCGATCGATCGAGGTGTACGTGTGCGCTGCTGGGGAAAAGGGAAATGGATCCGTCGGGCGCCTTCTTCCACGCGGCTCCCCGGAGCGGCTCGAATGTGTCGCTGGCGTCGCTGGCGAGGACGGCCGGAGGGAGGAGGATGATGCACAGGGTCTTCCGCGGCGTCATCACCTTCATCTTCGCCATAGGTCGCTAATTAATCTCTCTCTTGCTATTCAATTTGCTTCTTCTGAATCTTCTTTCCAATCTCCCTTGTTTGCTTTCTGCTGCCTGCTCTGATAGCCTGATCTACACCGTCTTGGTGTGGGTCTGTGTGATCCAGCTTCATTTCTGCTTAATTTCATCTTGTTTATGTGTTTCAGTGTCTCGCATGCATATATATATGGCACGAGCTACTTCAGATATATATTTTCCCCTTTTTCTTTTTCTTGCCCTCCTTTTCTTGTCCTGCTTCATTTCCATTTCTTGGTCCAAGAAGAAAAATTAAGGGGGACATTTTTTATGCATGTTTCATCACCAATACTCAACTCATTTTCACATTTTCCCTTTTCAATTCCCTTCTATGATGGGTTCTCTCTTTCTTTGTGGATGAATCTGTGTGAAGAGAGAGGACATGACATCCATGCATCGGCTGATGGAGCTCAAGCTGCTCAATCAGCGCTTTGTATCATCTTGGTGTATTTGAGTCTTAATAAAGCTTCCATTATCTTAAAAAAATCAGCACTTTGTATGGATGGATTTTACAGTGCTCAATCTTCAGAGCACTGTCTGTATTTCCTTTTTCAAGGCAGCATATACTGATACTTGCTTAATTGGTTCTCCCAACGAAAATACAGATTTTTTTTGTCGGCACTGTTAATTTGCATACTGTTTTATTTCCTTCTGAGCAAGTGCAAAGTAATAGATACTAATATTGTTTGGTCATATACGTGCAGAATGGGTTCTTGCACAGCTTAAAACCACAACTTCTTTTCTCTGAACAATGCTTTTCAGAGTGTGACATTTGTCTCGTTTTTTTTTTGTTCAATCTTGAAGCCTGAATCTTGAACCGGAAAGCTGTGGTGGTAGCTATGAATGTTAATTAACATGGATGTGTTTGTGTGTGTGCAGCTGGACTGTTTCTTGGAGCGGTGACTGGCGGGCTGATCGGGCTGGCCACCGAGAGCGGCCTCTTCCGCGGCACCGGCATCGGCGCCATCACCGGCGCCCTCGTCTCCATCGAGGTCGTCGACTCCTCCATCCGCGTCTGGCGATCCCGCCGATCCGGGATCTCCAGCATCTGCTATGTGGTAAGAACGAACACACACATTTCTTCTTCATCATGCCGACAGGTATAGTAGATTAGTAGTAGCTTTGGAGTAGGAGAGCAACCTCATAGCTGCACGCTTGCTTGCTTGCTTACCTCAACTACTGAACTTCCTTGTCTGTACCAGTCATCAGTGTGTGTTGCTTAATTTATTTATATGAACTAGTACTTGCTTAATTCATATAACCTGTTTGTGTTTATTTTAAAACAAAGGGTCAAAGCTAACTGCCTCTTTTATGAGATGATACAACTTGTCAAACCTTGCTGTCTTGAAAGTTCAGATGATTATTTCGTACAAAAAAGAATAGTTCAGATGATGTTTTCCAAAGCAATTTGTGCATTCTTTACAATCTAATTAACCTGCTCATGTATTCTCAGTACCACTTTTAGGGGGGGGGGGGGGGGGGAAGCTCCCTAGGTAGATTGTGCAACAAATATCTGCACAAACGGGATCTCTGAACATCTCTTCTGCTTCATCTGTCATATATACGTGCTCACAGCCTTACATTTTGCTAATTTTTTTTTGTTGGCTTGTTAAACCTAACACAAATCTCTCTGCACAAAATGCAGCTTAATGTGATCTACAGCCTCCTGACCGGCAGGCTTGTCCGCGAGAAGGTCGATCCGGCGGTGCAGCGGGTGGTCCGGAGCCAGGTCAGTTTGGTCGTCTCATGAATCTGCCCCTGCATACATGGTTGCGTCTGATTCAGAAATATGCAGTAGCAGCTTCAGTTACAGATTTGTCTGACGAGATTGCCTCTGAATTCAGATGAATGCAGTGGATTCATCGCCCTTCAGGGAGTCCCCTGACCTGTTCGAGATCGAGGGCACCAACGGCATGCCACGGGCATCCATCGACAAGCTCCCGGAGGTCAGGATCACTGAGGAGTACAGGAGGAACGCCATTGGTGACCTCTCGGGATGTTCAGTTTGCCTCCAGGTCTGAAACTTTTACCATTTCTCAAACTCACTGTACCTAAATTGAACATCTCTGCATTATTGCTTGCACATTACCTTGCAACCAATTGATGAGAGTACATTGCATCCATATTTAATTTATCACTGTCTCGTATCAAAACCGTGTGCTTCTCATTGATGTGCCAGATCTTTGCATGAATTCTCACTGATTACTGAATCCTGTGAATTCTGAAACATTTGGCTCCTCTTACTACTGCAGGATTTCCAGACAGGTGAGAAGGTGAGGAGCTTGCCGGATTGCTGGCACGTGTTCCATGTGCCGTGCATCGACGGCTGGTTGATCAAGCATGGATCCTGCCCGTTGTGCCGGAGGAAGCTGTGAGATCGACGACGACGACGGCCATGGTGATCACTGCTATAGTTGTAGCAGAAGGAGGAGGAGGCTGCTCTGCTTTCTTGCTGTGTGCTGCGATCGAGTTGTCCATCAGTGTTGCTGTTCTTAGAGAAGAAGACTGACATCTCTCTCTCTCTCTATATATATAGAAAACCCTTAATCTATAGAGCATTTTGTTTCTGCTTATATTGCTACATGCTCTATCTTTTTGGTTGAACTATCTACATATATATCTATATTTCTATCTACTCACTCCTTTCTCCTTATGTAACATACCTCTCAAAACTCTGAACTGGCTTGTGCTGATCATCTGATGTATAATATATAATATATAAATATATATCGCCCCTTGGACACCATCGCATATCAATCTCCTGGATATACTTGGTAGACTGGCTTAAATCATTTCTGCTCTTCTGGGTCATTACAGCTTGATTATAATTGGATAATTATCAAAGAGCTGAGTAGCTGACACAGTTTTTGCATTGAGCTGTCCCAGTCCAGAGTCTACTTCGAAGTTTAGAACACCAGTATCACTGCATCTGCATATGCCTGATGCGAGGAAAGCCAATAAATATGGATCTGATGAGCATGCCATGCAGAAAGGATAAGATACAGACGGCACGCATGCATGCCCACATACACGTGCTGTATCAATCAAGAGAACATCATCCAAATATCCAAACCAAAATGCAAAGGATCAACATCATCATCAATGACCAGTGCCACACTGCACAAGTTAAAGAGGCACAGCGGATGAGATCTGGTTCAGTTCAGGTACCCTTGTTGAGAGTTGGCAGAGTTCTTGCTGTATCCAAAGTGAATCTTCCCCAAGGGGAAAGCAACAATTTACACGGTGGTCAATAAATAAGAGTGCATGTACAAGTCAAAAATATAGTAGTAGTATACATAAGGTCCACAACATCAGCTAATTAAGTTACTCCTTTTTTGGCTTATTATTTCATATGCACTGGTGTTAAAATTCCTGCGGCGGAACAAGACTTTTGCTTTTTCGGCTGGAAAGATTGAGCTTTCCATGGAGCATCAGCAGCACAACACAATTGAACAGCTAGCTATTCTTTTTAAGTCGATCTTGAAACATACATTACTATGATGCTGGGATTAAAGAGCTGGAGAAGAGCTTCTGTGTCTCTCCATTTTTTTTTACATCATTGAGGGAATGATCTTGGCCGAAATGACCGGCTTTTACTTTACCACAGGGGAAGAAAACCTTCTTCAGTCAGGTGTGTTGCCTCCACCATGCATTCAGGGTCACATTTGAGATGCATAAGGTGCAAGTGTGTTGCTGCGCAGATTCACGCCGCCGCCTCTTAAAGAAACAGAAGGGCCCCTGTAGGTGCTCGCCCTGCTGACAAGGCTGGAGTCGAGGAAGACTACTATGACGGTTATGTCATCATGGAAGTGGCGGCGAACACCACGGTCAATCTTCTTGAGATCTGAGTACCTCATTTCTCTTTTCTTGGCTGCTTCTTGCAAAGCTGCCTTTATGAGCCTCCTAGCACTTCCCTGAAAGATCAAAGAGCACAAATCATCAGATTCTTTCACTTCACAATCAACACTTAGCGTGTCCATTTTGTTTTCATGCATGTTGCCTTCCACTGAGGGCTGAACAATAACAAGGTAAATGATGCTAAGCTTCTGTGCCAGCAAGTAGCTACAAATTTCAGCTCTACTTGATCATAGATTTATATATCCACATGAGTCTATTTTCTATTGTATATGCAGCCATGCCAGGACTATGTACATAAACCAATGCCATGCAACAAATTGTTGTACTGAAGGGAACCATCCATATTCATATTTTGTATTGCTGTTTTGGTGACAGGCTAATATTTCATTCCAAGAGGCAATATTGCTTAAGCTATGTGCATGGGTTTTTCTGAAACCTTCAGAATAACATCTTGGGCTTTTACGCAATTTAGTCTTAATGCTGCTATACAAAAGGATTTTGGATTGGCTGCAATAAGAAATCATGTCACTGAGACTACAAAATTTATTAGCTATGTGGTAGTAACTCAAGGAAATATGGTAGTAGTAAACTACCACTAATTCTTATGTTGGCATTTGGCAATATATGTCAACCAATGACATGCATGGTTGCAATGGAAAATGCCAACCAATGTATCTGTATGTTTCATGTTAATTTATTTGTGCAGGAGCAAGCACTTACATTGCGAGGGCTACTGTGAACAATGTCAACGGCCTCTTGATTGGTTAAGTGCTCCCATAGACCATCAGATGCAAATATGAGAAATTGATCATGTGGTTGTAGGGGTTGCACACTAATCGATGGTTCTGAACTTAGTATGGGCTTGTGAAAAGGTTCCCGGAGGCGGAATTTTGCATACAAAGGTTCCCGGTTGAACTCTGATCTTTTGAGATAGGCATCACCAATTGATCTGCAGACCTGCAAAATATATAACAAATTAAAGGAAAACCCAACAATCTTCACTTAGACCTTGGAAGAAACATAAATAAAGCAGCAAGTATTGCCAGATTTGTAAACTGTACAATAAAAACTCATCAAACATTTGGATGCCTTATCATGGTAGCCTAGTGAAGGGTGTATCAAGCTCTGAAGAGTGGAGATTGGAGGGATATTCATAAAATGTTTTTCACTAACAAATGGTTATTTGAGGGATGGCATGAACCTAACAGATAAATAGCAAACAAAGTATTTCTTCAACCAGCAGCTATCTGTACCACGAAAAAAAAAATCTCTCAATTAAGTAGATGAACATGCAATTAAACAACAGACAATGCAAAACCTTCGATTATTCTCAAGCTCCTCACTGGCACAAAATATAGGAGTGATATCACAATCATCAATCACAGATGACATCTCTCATCCATGAGCAGAAGAAGACTTTATTGCATTTATTTCCAATGGTGTAACCACCTCGAATCTACTTGGTTTTGTCTTAACATTACAAATGCAGATGAGTTTAATAAGCCGATTACCATCCGGAAGGTGATGATGGGAATAATGGCAGATGCAGGAGGCAATATGAAATGATCCTTCAATCAAACTTCTTCAAAGCTAAAACTGTGTTCATAGTGATAGAGAACTCACCTGAATTAGACCTTTTACACGCCAAACGTTGTGCTTGAGAACAACAATATGCCTATCTTCCGGGTGCATTGACTGCAATTCTTTTCTCACTGACTCAATGCTTACGTTATGCTCTGCTGAGAGTTGGACAGCCAGAACTTCTCCCGTGGCTTTGACATGTCTGCCTAAAACAACACGGGAATCCCCAACATTAGCAACATAAAGAATGCCACCACAGATTACACCAACCAGGCAGCACGAGCCAACAGCAGCTATTTGAGGCTTCACAGGCCATTGCTTGGTGACAACAGAGAAGAACCCATCTTCTGTAGCTTCATATGCTTTCTTCAGCACATCAGCAGATATCGAATTCTGTTCAGATGCAAACCCTGCAATATAAGCCATGGAAGAATGAAATGGTCATGGAATTGCTCTAAAACACAGTATGGAAGTAGTGCAAAACAACACTAGTGCATACTGTCAGTATCAATTACTTTTCAGATGGTGGAATAGGTGATCGTTGATATAGCAAGCCGTCTCTGGGCCACCATGTCCATCATAAACCCCGACGAAAGTTCCGTATGGACCAGAGTCAAGAAAGCTCAATGGACCCGATTCAATCTGGCACTGATCCTCAAGTAAGTTGTTGGCCTGGACCACAGCCATAGAGAATTCCCCATTTACATGCTGACCAGTGTCCTTGTACCATAGAAGTCCATCCTGCCTGCCGGCAACATCTGAGCCTGCCCGGGCATGCTGGTTGGATGATGGTCTCCAGCATGCCCGTAACAAGTTCATCAATGTCACTATCATCCCTCATCAGTCATCCCACCACAGACGCCTTCGAGGCCGCTTCATCTGAGCTCTAAGAAAATGCAGCTTCACTTGTTGATACGCCGATGTTTTCCTTTATTCTGGAAAAAAGCATGCATACATATATGAAACAGAAGTATGGATTATTAATGGAACTCAAGACCATTGTATGTGCCTAGTTTGGAAGCATTTTAAAGGATATCATCTTTTATTTTTCATTCATTTCCTTTGGTGTGTATGCTTTCTATAACATCTAGTGTTATACAAATTGAAGTTAATAAAGTTGCTTTTTCTACAACAGGAAAGCCAAAATATCAAAGAAATATCCTTCCCGATAACAATAAGACCAATGATAACTTTAAGTCCAAGCAAACTTGTCTTGTGTAACAAATATCCTTGCTGTGGGGTATAGCAAAACAATATACCACATTCTGTAGCATTCTATAACGCCTTAGTATGCAACTTTTATATCAAAGAGAAAGGGAGAAGGCAGCAGAAGACCCAACTGATCATCGTTTTTTCACTATATCTCTTATTACTCGAGAAACATAGCATGGCCAACACTTTTTTTTTTCCATCTCCCATCCTCACAGCAACCAACCGATCAAAGCTAAAACTTAGTACAATATTCTGAAAAAACTTACTCCTACTTTGCAAATACAGTTTTTCTCCCCCCCTACTATCCTTCACTTGGATAAACAGAAAGTGTGAATTGGTGGAATCAAAATCAAACACCTTCCCCCAACCTAAGAACAAGCGGACACACTCACACCTTATCCTCGAGCTAACGAGTAGAATTGCACACCATGATCCTCACATTAATTCCCCCAATCATATCCGCAATTCCTCCCTCCAATTAGCGCGGGCGCCTCTTCTCCCCCCAAGTCGCAAGCGAAGGACAGTCCACCAAATCAAAAGACTCGCTCGGAATTACCATTTCATACCCCCCGATCCACGAACTCCACACCCGCATACAGAACCAAACGATCCCCCCCCCCCCCCCAAACGCCCAAGAACGCCAAAATCACTAGGCATAAATCACACTAAATTCGGATCAATAAAGGGAGAGGGAAAGCCCCCTCCCAAATCCAAAAGCGAGAAATTCGCACCTCTTGGCGTGGCGGACGCGGCCAATTGGCGGATTTCGGATAGGGGATTTGAGGGAATTGGGGAGGGTTGCCTCGATCGAATCGCGCGATTTGGGCGTCGCCACGCTGCTTGCTCTCAATCTGTGTCCAAACCAAGGGAGGAAAATTAGTCGCGGAAGTGAGGGGAAAAAATACCGGAGGAGGAGGGTAGGGTAAGCGGATCGGGTTTTTTTTCCCTACCCGCCTCCGATCCGACCCGAATCCGCCTCCTCTCGGATCGTATCGACGCGGAGCCAAGGGGAAATCCCTCTCTCTCTCTCTCTCTCCGACCAGCACCGCCGGGGACGAACGAACCGGCGGCCGGCGTGAGGCGGCGCTGACTCGTCGGCG